GCCGCAGTCCCGCGAGCCCTCTCCTCGCCCAGGCCCGGGTGGGCGGGTCTCATCGTTCAATGACGTGCACCGGTGCGTTAAAGGTGGGGTGGCTCATGGGCAACCACGCGAGCATCGAACTTCACGAACTGGTCGCTCCGAGCACTCACCGAGCCGCATCAGGAGAGGTAGACTTTCCTCCATTTACGACCATTGTTTCCTCCGATAACCCGATCCGGACAGGCGACATTTTCATCCTCAAGAGAGGAGGCGATTTTGGTGGTGTAGGAGTGCGCGGATATTCTCGTCTCGAGACTTTCTTGGGATTGGATACCTCTGTATACCGGAGCATCTGAGCATCATTCATAATGTACTCTGGATAGCTTCATGGATCCTCCCCTGTCTGAATCCGCGGAAGAGCGGAACCCTGGCTTCGTCAATAAGCCACGTTATTCCGCCCATGGTAACCCTCCGCAGAAACGATTTGCGTTCCTCTCACAATCAGTGTTCATCGTTCTGGAAGTCGCAATCACGTTTTTTTCCCCGAAGCGGACTCAGGCGGCAAGTCACGGTTACATTCCGAATATGTGATATTCTCCAGGCGACTTCCGCAGCTCCCATCCCCCTGTCGCAAGTCGGTTATATTTCAGAAACGATTTCCGAGGGTTTCGACCAAGGTGGGACGGCTGGGCGGCCCCGTAAGTCGCCGCTCCGAACTTGAGAGCTTTCCTCACGAGACCCGAAGGCTGCAGAATGGCACCTAGTATTGGTTTCATCAGCTTTCTCCGACGCGTTCCACGGTTTTCACTCAGAGCGAATTCACCATCATATTTTCTTCGAGCGGCGCGGCAGGAAGCTTTCTATACACCAGGGCTTGTTATGCCTCGATGTTAACGGGACTGAGGACGGTGGGAAGAAGCCGGCTCGTTGCGGCCCTAAGTCCACGTAGGACGATGGTTAATTGGAATAACTAGTTCTGAAGACATATGTCCGAATAGCTGGCCGGCAACCAGACTTCATCTCACGTGAACATACGTGGTTACGGCAAACGTACGGAAGTCTGTACGGGGGAACCCCGCTCCCAACCCCTACCATTCCTCGGCTACCAGCCCCTCGAATGCGCTCGTTGGTCGGTGGCCAACGTCCTTCCTTCCGGCCGAGCGAGCGGGCCCCTTCCTGCCCGCCCTTAAAGCGAGTGGCTGACCAGACAAGCAGCCATCCGTCATCGGGAGCAACGGAGAGCACGGGAGCTCCTCATCACTCATCTGGGCCGGCGGGCCGAGTAGTGAGGCATACTACTTGCGGCGCAGAAGTCGGCGAAGTTGAGCTGACTGGCTATCCGTCGGCTCGGGGAAAGCACAACTAGAAATGGCACTCGGACGATATTAGCCGACATGCGGCTCGTTTCACTGAAGCAGATGAGGCTACGGACGCTCAGATTGCTCGTAAAGAACGTTGCGGCGCTGAGATAAGAGATCCGTACCTCACGTTCCCTTACGACGATGTGGCTGCGTGCCCATAGTTCAGGCCGTTTAGAAGGTGGTTCGGGAGCGTCGGAACGCGGGCTCTGCGACCGGGTGAACTCCGCATGAAGGAGAGGAGGAGGAGGAGGAGAGTCATTCCCTTCTCGGATATTGCTCTCCAAGCGACGCCCGCTAATCCTCCCTCGCCGGTGGGCGCTCGTCGTTGTTGTTCGGGCGTATCGCTCTTCAACGTTCTGACAGACGTATCCGTGGTAATTATATTCGACAGAGCATAATTCGGACAGAGGCCTTCCATCCATCACAGCTTCATGCGACGGTGACCGAAAGACAGAATAGAATTTGAAGATGTTTCGGCGTCTGGCGAACTTTCCATGAGCGCGGAGGTCTACCGTCTTTCAGGCTAAATGGAGCTGTCCGATAGGAACGTCGTTAGCAGAGCGGTGTCGACGGCGAACTTTCCCGAACAGTACTGTAATGGCTCTCGTTAGAGGACGTCCGCGCGTTCGTTTGTACAGACGGTCGCATGTATGTTTGCCTAGGCGAGGACTTCGATGTTAATGTCGGTTCCGTGATCGTTATCCGCTTATAGACCTCCGTGTGGCACGAACGCCAAGATGTTTTTCCACAGTACGCGAGCATCCCCGTGCAGACACACGTCCGTGTACCTACGAGCGGGGAGGGCGTGAGCGTTTGAGAACTGAAAACACTGTGATAGCGGATCGATGGGCCGATGCACGCTCGAGTGGGATGGGGTGGCGTAATGCGGGAATTCCGTGATTCTCCAGGCCGGATCACGCAGCGTGAGGCTGTACCTGCGAGGGTTTTCAAGAGAAGGAACAACATACTCAGGAAGGACGCATGTTTCGAGGAAAGTCCCTCAGAGTGCTGTTCTCCCATTGCGTCGCAGAACTCGTCGGGGTCTCCCGAGCAGATACCCGCAGAACACGGGGTTCTCGTTCCGAGATATTCGTTCCGTAGCTCTGCTGAATGATCAAAAGGAGTCGGGACGGAACGCTCGAGGGCCGAGTTATCCAGATCAGGGGGCTGCTTGCGAAACTCCGGAACTCCGATTGTCTCCTCATTGAAGAGCACGAAACCCCGGAATCTGAGGTGAGGCTGGAGCTTTCGCGTGGCCTGTGATCTCCCATGGAACATTCACGCAATTACGTTTCGATCTCCCAGGGCGCGGAATCCACCGGATCGCCAGGTATCTACAGTCCTAGTCATAAGTGTTTTCGGCACGGTCTTCTGCTCACTCCCTGCTGAGGACCGAGTCGGGATCGGAAGGTATCCAGGAGTCTGCGACGGCTCCATCGAATGCGCACTCACCCAAGCTAATTGTTCTGTATACATTATTCAACAGAAGTACCTCCGTTAAGCGTGTCGTATCAGCGGAATCCTCGTTGTGGTTGTCCGTGGGAGCGATCAGCCTGGGGACGGATGCTGGAATCGAGGGCCAGTGAAGCCTCATTAGAATTTCAACAGGGGAACCCAGTAAGTCGTCCTCATACTTGATGCGACCTGTACGGTCGAGAACTTCGGAGATCGGTCGTATAGAGAGGCCGAATATGCGCTCATTTCTCGACCAGCGAGGGAAAGGGAAAACGAATGAATGTCCATATGAATGTCCTAAGGCGGGGTTTCGAGAGAATCCCGAGAACCCACGAAACCGAGCCTGATCTTCTTTTGGTCCAACTCTAGACTTCGAGCCGCAGATGCCCCAACTCTGCAGCAGGATGTCACTGTTGCCAGGTTGAAAGTTTGGGATGAGCTGAGCTCGATTCTTCATTTCGTTCCACAACGATTTTCGGCAGGCATTTTCACTGAACGAGCATTTCCTCGCCGCTGGAAAAGTGTGAATACTGCCTCTATCTCCGCGTATCAGCCCGTTTCATTTCAACGATGTTGGAAGTTGAGCGAATGGCACCTGCCGATGACAAGTCGAGCCGGTAATGAGTACTCAACACTTCTTCCTGTGGTCTCATCTGCGTCTTCTGAATATCGTAAAGATCCGAGGCGTCAGACCGATTGACATCTGAATTCGGTGAGTTCAGGATCGCTCCAAGATCGATACTGTCCTGGGTCCAGATTGAGAGACCGTAAGCGGAAAAGATATCGTACCTAGGATAGCATGTTCCATGCTCATCGGCTAAACCTCCTCGAGGGGCTCAAATATTTGCATCCTGCGATGTATCATACTTGTAGCACCATTGGCGAGCTCGTGAACCGCGCTCCAGGCGGGACTCTACCAGGATGGCTTCCAGCAAGGCTTCAATACCATTCTGGCTCGGACAGGAGTGTGTATTCCCGAAGGGAACTCACTGTCCGCGATGAGAGGACTTTGCGTCCGCGCGGGTCTCATCAGAGCGTCGATGGTCGGAAGAAGAAGGTCGAGAACGCTTGTGCCTCAGAGCGAGGCAGGGGGCGGCAAGAGGTCAGATCGTCAGCAAGCACTTCACCCCCGAATGCGAGAGGGTCTCGAAGCCGAGCTTGGAATTCAGCTCGCGGTATCTGAGAAGACTCCCGGATGAGCTCGATCATTTCCGGAGGTTCGGAAGAGAGATAATCGACCCTCCCGGACAATAAATGATGGGAATCGCCCCTTATTCCCCCGGAGAAGCTGCTGAGCGCAGTCATCCGTTGAGCATCGGTAGCTACTCCCGTTATAACCTGGTAATTCTTTAGCATCATTTTCTCCCATGTTCACGCCTCAATCTATAGGGATTGACCTGGATGATCTTTGGTATTCACCCAAACTCTGCGAATGATGAGAACATACGATACGTTTCTGGGCATTGAGAGAATATCCGGGGTCGTTCCCTCATGAGAGTCGCTCAGACTCCAGACTTTTCGGAATCCGGGTGAAGTCAAGGGCTCTCCCAAGCACCCTCGTCAGATATGAGTTCGCATCCGGGTCGAGAATGACTGATTTTTCCATCGTATTGCCCGATGCGTATTTCATTCATTGGAAATAGGAATCATCTCTGCCTGCCCGGATGCGGATTTTCCCTCTGTGAGATCTCGGAAGGAAGGGAAAACCAGGTCACAAGTGATGAGAGGAGTCAATGCACCGTGTGCCGCAGTCCAGACCTGGCTCCCGAGGAGTAGTGGAGCTTCATCAATTTCCACGCTTGATGCATGCGGAACTTTCTGAGTAAAGCGGTGTGGATGAACGACTCGATCGGAATCTTGGTCGGAAGGTTTCGTACCTTACCTCACCATCGGAAATCGGTCGGGAGCATGACTAAGCGCATCGTGAGCAAGACATCGACCCGATGACGTGTCCGATAAGCGTAGCTGTGACTCATCCGGACCGGGTCCTCCTGATTCGGCATGACGAGTTATTTTAATGCTGACCCCCATGAAGAGTCAGAGGAGTATCAAAATGACCTGGTGCTCCGCAGAAACGGAGCTTTTTTTCACGCTGCTTCCGGCACTGAACGAGGAGCCACAGGAAAATTATTCCTCTCAGCGGCTCTCGTCTGGTATAATCCGGGGTGAAGCACGCCCCCGCAACTGGCGAATGAGTTCTCGCTATGAATATCAACAAAAACACAGTTACTATTTTATTAGCGAATTTGCTGCTTTGGTTCTGAGAAGAATCTCGAATTCGATAGTATATGAATGGGTGCGTATCCGTGGTAGTTGACAGCCCTGAGATTTTCCCAGCAGGGAGAAGAGCAAGCGAGGGGGTTCCGTGTTGCTCGAGGATTTGTTGGCCGACGGAGAGATAAAATATCAGGCGACCCCGCGAGCGAGTTGAATGATGAACTGTTCAATTGGAAAGAATCTTACTATTTCATCAACTCAGCGACTAGTCAACTTCGTCGACTGTGGGCCCGGCACTGGCGTTGTCCCCAGCGGGAGGGGCTCCAGGTGCACCTGGCATGCCACCGGGCATGCCACCGGGCATTCCTCCAGCGCCATACAGTTTCGTGATGATCGGATTACAAATCTTCTCGAGCTCCTTCTGCTTGTGTTCGTACTCTTCGGCTTCGGCGAGCTTGTTCGCGTCGAGCCATTTGAGGCAATCCTCGATACTGTCGGTGACAGTCTTCAGATCATCCGCTGAGAGCTTATCTTTGAGCTTCTCGTCCTCGAGTGTTGTCTTCATGTTGAAACAGAAACTCTCGAGACCGTTCTTGGACGACACGCGGCCCTTTTGTTTTTCGTCTTCGTCCTTGAACTGTTCAGCTTCCTTCACCATCCTCTCGATTTCGTCCTTGCTGAGACGTCCCTTATCGTTGGTAATTGTGATGTTGCTCTGCTTACCGCCAGCCTTGTCGGCAGCCGTTACGTTCAGGATACCGTTGGCATCGATGTCGAAGGTCACTTCGATCTGAGGAACGCCGCGAGGCGCGGGCGGGATGCCGGTCAGCTCGAATTTCCCCAGGAGGTTGTTGTCCTTAGTCATAGCTCGTTCCCCCTCATAGACTTGAATGAGCACGCCGGGCTGATTGTCCGAGTACGTGGTGAATGTTTGCGTTTGACGGGTGGGAATGGTGGAGTTCCGCTTGATCAGGGCCGTCATCACACCGCCGGCGGTTTCGATACCGAGGGACAGAGGAGTGACGTCGAGCAGCAGGAGGTCCTGGACGGCCTCGGATTGATCTCCCATCAGAATGGCAGCCTGAACCGCGGCCCCGTAGGCGACGGCCTCGTCGGGATTAATGGATTTGTTCAACTCTTTGCCATTGAAGAAGTCCTGCAGGAGCTTCTGGATTCGCGGAATCCGGGTCGAGCCTCCGACCAGGACGATGTCCTGGATGGCGGCTTTGTCCATCTTGGCATCGCGCAATGCCTTCTCAACTGGCTCCAGCGTGGAGCGGAACAGGTCGGAGCACAGTTCCTCGAAACGCGCGCGGGTGATGTTCGAATAGAAATCCTGTCCGTCGAATAGCGAATCGATTTCGATCGATGCTTGAGTCGAAGACGAGAGGGTCCTCTTGGCGCGTTCGCAAGTTGTTCGGAGACGACGGAGAGCTCGCTTGTTTGTGGTGAGGTCCTTCTTGAACTTGCGCTTGAATTCCTGCGCGAAGTGGTTAACCAATCGGTTGTCGAAATCTTCACCACCGAGATGGGTGTCTCCCGCGGTGGACTTCACCTCGAAAATCCCGTCCTCGATGGCCAGCACGGACACATCGAAAGTTCCGCCTCCAAGATCGAAAATCAGGACGTTACGTTCACCCTGCCCCTTCTTGTCGAGACCGTACGCGATAGCCGCTGCCGTCGGCTCGTTGATGATTCGGAGGACGTTGAGACCCGCGATGGTTCCGGCGTCTTTCGTCGCTTGACGTTGAGAGTCATTGAAGTACGCCGGGACGGTAATGACCGCGTTGGTCACGTCTCCGCCCAGGTAGGCTTCGGCAATCTCTTTCATCTTGATGAGAACCATCGATGAAATTTCCTCGGGGAAGAATTGTTTGGTCTCGCCCTTGTATTCTACCTGGATCTTCGGCTTAGTGTCGACGTTGACCACATCGAAACTCCAGTGTTTCATGTCGGATTGGACTGCGGAGTCGTCGAAACCGCGGCCGATGAGACGTTTAGCATCTGCAATAGACGAGAAATTACGTTTGAGATCTTTTCGAGTTGGCTGCAGGTCCTCTTCGATAGAAGTTTTCAAGGCTTATTTCCGAGTGAACATGCGTATTCGACAAGAAGAGGATGCATTTGAGACGTCGAAACTGGGAAAGACCGACGAGCTACAATTGCACCGCGTTTTCGATTGAAAGACGAAACCGCAGCTCATCAGAGCACACGAGACAAGCGGGCTGAAATATTCCGGAAATACGAACAAGCATGACGTATTCGATGAATGGATTCCCGCGTGCAGAACAATGCTCCGAGAGCGCTCAAGTGAACTGAGGATGATGCACGCTGCGAATGGTACTTGGAACGCGCACGTGTTCCGGAGCGAGCCGAGGAAACGCCCGCTGCTATGTCAAGCTCCTCCCGGGAGACCACGGTGGAATAGCGGGGCGCCGGGCGTAGTTCCTCCATTAGACTCACCGAAAACTGTGTTGGACGGATTCATTGCCACCTGATTCTTTGCTGCATCGCCGATCAGTCGCTCGGTGTCGGTGAAAGCCACATAGGAAGGCGTTGTTCGATTCCCCTGCTCATTGGCGATGATCTCGACTTTGCCATGTTGGAAAACTGCCACGCACGAATACGTCGTTCCCAAGTCAATTCCGATCGCTTTCTTGCCCGACATGCTTCCTGAAATGATGGCGGGTGTGGTTTGCTTGACACTGCGCTGTGGGTGACACGGTGTTTTATAAAAGTCGATTCAATCCGGGATATGAGAAAATATGACGTTGTGCGCTCGCGAACGGCTGCACCCACGAATTTCGCACGATCGGGATCAGCGGAGAGGTCGCAGGCGCTCGAACGCGACACATGCGAGCGAGGTTTCGGAAATTCGACACGGTAGAGGTTAGAGGCGATTGACAGCGACGCGCTGTTGGATGTACGGCCCGGGGGATAACTTACTGCTTGATGTGCGGATGAGGTTGTATGAATAAATTAAATCCGAGGCGGCTCAATGTTCCGTCCCTGAGTTTTGATGCCTCGCCGACGATCCTCCAGCAACAATCAACGAACCAACAATCTGACCGGCAGCCGGCTCTTAGTTTTATGAGACGAGCTGCTGACGTCACATACGAGGTTTCGAGAATGTACGATTTTCGGCGACGGCTAGCCAATCCTCGGAGGAGTTCTCGGCGCCAAATTTCGAAACTTCTGTCGTTCCCGCCCAACTGCTCCAGCGGCAGATTTGAATTGATCCTTGAGCGAAACGTCTCCGATGCAACGAGCCCCACTCCAGATCCCATGTGTGCGTATAAAGGGGATGTGGACGAGATATGACCTTCTCCTCCGATTTTGGAGGGGCCAACGGATTGAATGATTATGTCGGGTGGGGTTTTCGAGATCAGAATCGGTGTCGAGATTTGATTGCTCCACCGATAGAGCTGTTCTTACCGTAGATGCTGGACGTTTGCTCCCCTTTCGTCCATTCCTTGCCGCGTAGTTTTTCCCAGAGATTCGCGGGATGAGCTTGAACATTCCTCGTACTCTAGCAGGGAGCTTGCCCACAGCGGGTGATTTGTACAATAAGTCGAATCGCATCACCTGAGTAAAGGCGTGTCTGTCCCACGGACGAGACAATGGCAGAGAATATCCACTCGTTCTCTTTCATTGAGTCAATCTGGATTGCCAAGTCTGGGGTGCGAATGGGGTCCTATCGAAAAAAGCATCATTTCGATCCTGTCGGAGAAAACAGTCTCCTGTGCACCCGTGAGGAGGATGGCGAGCAGTTTCGGCATGTGCTCCTCTCTCGGGAACAGGAGCACTCTGTACCCGAGAAGCCATCATCCGCAGTTTCATAGAGTCCCATCTCCAGGTCGATCCTGTGAAATCATCGATTCCGTACGAGATCATGATGCCTCTCGTCGCACAATTGCATGCTTTTCTAGGGGAACTCGCAATGAGCCTTCATTAATCGGAGAGTGAGTGATCTCTTGCATCCGAGGCGAACCCCTCGAGAAGTTCCTCCCGATCGTTCACGTGTAGACCCTAATCTACTCAGGTAGCGCCCGGCAACAGCCGAGCGATGCTTGCCCACTTGGAAGAAGCCGCGTCTCCAATCCGTCATGGACCTGTAAATGTACTCCGAGGGAAGGAGCATCGAATGTGCTCCGCATCGACGAGATGTGTGAAATGGCTGTTTTTCTACGGAGCGCGCTCGTCCCCTACCACCGTCACCGGTCTAGCAGAGCAAGTTCTCCAACAACACTAATGCCGCTCACAGGCCTCCGCAGCTTTGCGCCAAACAACACGGAGATAGTTTCCCGACCTGATTCGCCGGCTCCGAGATGATGCTTGTCCCTGACGATGCGCGAGGGAAGACGAGGAATTTTTTCTCGTATGCTAGCAGAGGTCCTCTGGCATCCTCATATGGATAAATTTTGACTCATCTTTGACGGAGTCCTCGAATTCGACTCCCGAGCCGACGATCCGAATCATTGATCCGCGAGACCTCGCTGACAACCAGTCTGTCCAAGCCAGTCAACTCACGCCTCGGACGCATCCTAGGGCGGTCCGAATGTCCGGGTGGGGGAAACTCCTCTTAGCGACTCAAACCATGTATCATAGGAACCTAACGGGCTCCGGTCCAGTCCTCCGAACTCGGAACTTCTGGAATGACTTCTTCCGATCAGGACTACAGGATGCTCTATGAACTTCAGAATCAGAATCCGAACGAGGGGACACCGAGCGCCCGGAAATACTGGTGAGTTCACAATGACGATTGAGAAAGTAAGTTTTTCATTCAATCAGAATTGCTCCGAGATAGGGAGGCTAGGCTCCCAAATCATACGCCGCGGGAGCCGATCCAGAAGACTCATGTCAGTCTCATGGACTTTGAGTTTTAAAAGAATCCCGACATCGATTTGCTCAAGTAGGCTCGCCAGGCTCAGCTTCCAGGATCGAGCGCCATGCCGACCCTCTAGGCCAGGGGTGTCATATCCGTGGCCCTCGGACCACATGTGGCCCGCGAGGTCTTTTTTGCGGCCCGCGAGGTCTTTTTTGTGGACCGCAACTATCTCCCGACATTTTCGAACCCGACCATTTCGAATGAGTGCTTGGACATTGAATAAGATCGGTGGGATTAATCCCTCCGTAATACCGAACAAACGAGTTTTCCCTCGATTCCCGGAGGCTGGAAAATCATCTTTCCAGGGCCGATAGGCATATATTCTCCGTTTATACGAAAGTGAAGAAAGTGGCCCGCGAAAAATTCAAGTCTGACACCCCTGCTCTAGGCCTTCCGTTGTCTGGATACAAAGAATGTCTCTCTCGTGCATTCTTCCAACCTAGACAAGCCGCTGAGGTCGGAAGCGTGTTGCAACAAATCAAGTCGTGTTCCAGGAGGGTCGACGACACGTAGTGTAGTGAATAGCTTAGTACGCAATGATTTCAATCGCAACATCGCAAGGACGAGGATGCCAGGACGGAATGATCCGTCAGATACTCCAGGCTTCCGCCAGCTGAAACAGGCGCCTTGCCGAGGTGGCTCACATATCTTTTCTCCGGACACGGAACTTGAGAATCGCCCAAAATGAACAATTGACTGTCCACATACGGGTGGTGCATCACCGAAGCTGATTTGATCCAGAACATCAGCGAAGGATCCATGCTCAGGATATGGATCATTCCGAATAAGGAGATTGATCGCATCGTCATCCGTCTCGATGGTCTCCTCGGTACCAAGCAGATTGCCCACCGGACCATGAGTCCCCGACAGAGACGAGTAATCTGTTATTTCGAATCCTCTTCTATGAATTTCTTCATCGGGTCACCTCCATGGCTCTTCCTTTCCATACCGCGCGAATGCGTTCCACCCTGCAAAAGCTTATCATGACTCAAAGTGACGTGTGACGGAAAAGTTTTCCGCCTGAGAGGGGAGAATATGGCCTGGGTCGCTCGTTCCCGACGGTTCACTTCAACGTCAGCAGAAGATGGAAGAGGAAACGCGGAACCCGCGCGCGAAGATCTGTGGCATGATATCCACTGAGTCTGGAACAATTTTCCTATCGTCGGGGGACTGAGCAGGCATGCACGAAGTCGTGCGAGGCATATGGAGTTCTCGGCTATGAATTTGAATAAGCATGGAGTTTGTCCGGATCGTAAGGAGGGTTGGGCAGCTCCGGTTTCGGCCTTTCGATCGGTTCTCAAGCCGGGGGATAAAACGCTTGCAGAAATTTCTGCAGCCATACACCGAATTGATGAAGAACCGTCCCAGAACGACATGTCGATCGAATCATTGAGACAAATAGTGGAGATCAGCACTCGCCTTCATCGAGGCCTGCTTCCCCTCAGGCAGGCGTATCCGAATGGAAAATATATTGTCGTTTGCTTGCTTTCTGTCGCAGCAGATGCGCAACGAATAGATACCCATCCAGAGGGCAATATCATGAACTCCCTGAAGTTTCGACGGCCTCCATGAAGATGAAAATCAAAATCGCGAATATTCCCCACGTCCATCGACGCGAGGGGCCGTCGATTTGTAGGTGTTCTAAATACCCACCCATTCATCGGTCAGACTTTCTACCCGCGTTCTGGCGGCTCCCTCTTCCAAGCTATCTATATATCTATTTATCGATGCTCGAATGCGCAGCTGACCATCTTCTGTTGTTCGATTTGACTTCTGGGATAGTCGCATCAGGAAGAGACTTGTTCACTCGCAGCGAGGACCGGTTCCGAAATGTCGTCAGCTCCCCGTTATAAAAGCCGCGCCACGGAACCCCGGCTTGAATTTTTTGCAACATGAAAGCCTTCCTGATCTTGTGCTCGGCGCTAGCAACTCTGTCCTCGAGGGCAGTGGGCCAAGAGCCCATCGCTGCCGATAGAGAAGGTGAGTCCGCTTCAGCTCGATGCATCGATTCTCTTGATGTTTCGGATCGTCGCCAGCTCCTGTCCGAGGCTGAATCGCACCTTCATGGATTTTGTCAGGGAGAAGAATTGAAATCCGAATGAGTCCGAGGTTCTATAAATCAGACTTTCCCGTGTGATCTATATTGCCCTCGGTTGAGAAAAGTAGGCCGACTACTTCATTTGTTCCGATAAAATCCTTTGCAGCCGAATGCATCGCCAATATTACGAAGCTATTGGAGTACTTCAAGGAGGAGTTCCCGAAGCAAGTTCCAGATGTCATTGACATCAAAGGGACAGGTCGAAAGCCAGGAAAAAGTGCTATGCTCCTGACAGGATTCCAAGACACTCAACTTGTGACTCCAGAGAAGCTGGTGAGTACAGCATTATGGTAATTCGTAATAATAGTGACTGGTGTGGTCTGGGAATGCGGGGTGGAAAGCTCGATATGGAGTGCTCAAGAGTCAATCTCCTAGGAATGTACGAACCAAACGACGGTGTCCTTCATCGTCCCGATCGAGGGACGCGCCGCCGTCTACCTGGGACCCGCGGTGAGACCTGACGTGGCCCGCACGTACTTCAAAGCCACCGTGAAGCTTGCCGGGACATTCAACCTTCTGAAAGGGCCATCCCTAGATAAAATCGAAGTTATAAAAACAGCCCTGGACAATGTGCAGCTCCTCGAGGCCAGTGCTCGTGAATCGAATCAGGTGAGCCTATGTCTTCCCCGTAATTATTATCATTCCGATGTTGTATTCGAGAAACGCATCGTGATTTTCGCGACTCTCCTCAACCTCTGGTCAAGAGTTCTGTAGACTCCACAGTGTAGGGAATGAACTAGTAGAGAATGGAAGAAAACTGAGCTCAATTTGCAGTCTTTCCAGCCCGCCCAACAATTCGTTGCGAAGGTCTGCTCGTCCCTGATTAAGCGCGCCCTCTCGAAAGAAGTCCCCGTGATCACGAGGAACTCGATCGGAAAGTCTCTCGTAGACCTCCAGCAAACCTTCATCAACTCTTCGGTAGCGGCTCTCGAGAAACGAGGGATCCAAATCTACAAACTGCTCGAAAGTATGCTGAAGACGAATAAGGAAGCCGCGAAGAATAAGGACAAGGACCAACAGGACAGACCAATCACAACTCAGGATCTCCTCACTCGGAAGAGGAACTCTCACTGAAGGGAGCGTATATGGGGATTAAAGTTGGGCGGGGTATTTATTTAGGTCCAAATAAATCATGAAAGGACGTTCTGTTTATTCGCTTAGGACGTCATTCACTTGTTTGACTACTCGATCCGACGACTCGGATTTCCATCGCTCGAGGCTGCTTCCTCAATAAGGCAGCCAGCTCCGCTTTGTCGGATCGAATCGTGGTAGACGTCCGATCCGGAAAATTTTGAAATGAGGACACCCGGTCGAACGACGCAGACGAACAAGCGATGCGCGCCATCACGGAGCTGCTTCTTGACCGGCATCTTGACCGCACAGCTGGAACTTTCGAGTGGTCATTCCAAGTCCATCAAGCCTGCGCGAGAACTGCTTCCTGAATCGCTGACGACGATATCTTGAACACGTCAAGAAGCGTTGACGGTGGTCCGGACCGGGGGAGGTCTCTCACGCAGAGGTGCGCGACCACTTTGATGCCGTCCTCGTTCTTCACGACCGACGCTACGGCGTCGCCGATACCTCCTTCAAAGGAATTGATGAGATCCATTTAGAACCGACAGTCGGAAGACGAGCGAAGTTCCCGGAAAGCAGGCTCCCCGGAACTTACCCTCAGGGTAGTGATCTTCGACAACAATGATTTTTCCCCCGCATTGGCGAGCGTTACTCAAAATGGATTGGCTGTCGATCGGTTTCACAGAGAAAATATCCATGACACGAATTTGGGTCCCCTGTGAACGAAAGAAAATGTCGTCGATAATTCTCCAGGCAGCGAACAATTCCCATAAAACGGGAAAAAGAATTGGGATTCCCACTCTGGAGATTTCTCGATGAACGAACCTTCTTCTGGAGCTCCCTGGCCGCCGCAAGAGCTTCGTGAAGCGTTACTCCAGCTCCGATGACGAGAACTTTGTCGGAATCGGACTGCAGCACGACCTGGGCTTTCCCGGCAGCGAATTGGGTCGAAGCGTCATACAAAACAGCTGTGGCCGGTCTCGATGTTCTGATGAAAACGATTCCCTTGTAGTTTGCGGCAAGCTCACAAGCCCGTTCCGTGGACACGGCATCCGATGGGTAAAGGACAAGCGCTCGCGGAATCGAGCGAAACATCGCGAGATCCTCCAATGCCATTTGGGACGGGCCATCTTCACCTGCGGAGATCGGAACATTGAGCTGGTCAAAGACTATTCCGATAAGTCTCCGCTCGTATTCGAGAATTAGGTCCTGCCTCTCGCGTAATCGGACGAGCCCTCATAGAAATTATGATTAGTCCAAAGGAAGGGGTTCGAACCTATTGAGATGCCCGCATGAGATCCAGCACACTTGATATTCGCTTGAGAAATCGCGCCCATTCGCAGTTGGTCGAATGTTCGCGTGAAGAAGGCTGCGAAAGTGGAAACGAAAGGAACTGTTCTCGAACGAGTCCCACAGCCGATTGCAACGCCCACGAGGTTCTGCTCAGCGATGAAGCACTCGACGTACCTTCGGGGGAATATTCTTAGGGCGTCGAGTTTTTCCAATAAATCGGAATCAGATATGATCATGATGAGAAAATGGCCTCCAATATGAGGGCCAGGGTCGGATTCTCGACTTTCCCTCACCTGTCCGGATGCGCCTTCTTGAATTTGTCGGAGTACGTCGAGTTTTTGGTGTCGCCGTCCAGAGCGATCACTCGGTCGTTCGAAGATCCTAGTTTTGCAATGGCAGTGCCATAGGCAAGCCGTGTCGCGATCTGAAATATCATCCATACGAGATCGATCAGCTCCGAGCGCCCAACGACTTTGTTGCAGACCGTCGGGAATCGAAAACACCCGACGAACGATAGGGGAGGGGGGCAGGCGACTGCGAAGTTCGAGGGGCTTTCTGACCTTTTCGCCTAGCTGATATGACGGCGGCGACGAAAGTTTGATGTCCGAGATGTCGACTTCAGGCGCGTCGAACACGGGCGCCTCGGGTTTCAGGGTAATTTCTGAACCGGAAATCTGAGCTCGCAGCGCCTCGAGCGCAGCTGGAGCTTTGTCGCCCAGGGGCTTCCCGTGCCAGTTTTCCGCATCCTCGATCCCGTCTAACCCTTTTCCCTTGAACGTTTTCAGTAAGACAGCGGTCGGCTTCCCTTTGACATGTTGGGCCTCGTCGAACACCTTGCACAGAGCTTCAACATCGTGTCCGTCAACCACGATAGTGTTGAACCCGAATGCTTCGCACCGTGCTCTGTAGATATCCATCTGGTGTTGCAGGGGAGTGGCTTCACTCTGACCAAGACGATTTATGTCAAAGATGGCCACGAGATTGTCGAGATTGTAGAGCGAAGCGAAAGACATTGCTTCCCATATCGATCCTTCGGCAGATTCCCCGTCTCCCATTATGCAGTAGACGCGATAGCTGCAGCAAATCAATATGGAAATGTAGTTTGCGACCTGACCGGGATCATCCGATTCGAGGATAGGCCCGCCATCGTGAGTCCCGACCGTGAGTCGGAATACCCCAGTCGTCGTAGAAGGGACGTTTCAATGACAAGTGATTCCCGATCTCCAGCCGTCACATATCAAGGGAGACTCTCGTTAACGAGGATGATTGTCTTCTTCCCTTCGGAGTACTATTTCTAGAATGAGGGTCGTAATCACCTGGCTCTGTCAAAGTATTTCCCGGTGTAGGCCATTCCGGCGGCGCAACTCAGACCTTGACCGAGAGACCCAGTGGCCACATCGATGAAGTTCAGACGAGGAGTGGGGTGTCCTTCGAGATCAGAATCGATTTTCCTCAAATTCTTGAGCTCTTCTTCGGGGAACAGCCCAGCGAGAGCCCAGGCTGCGTACAAGATGGGGGCCGCGTGTCCCTGCCGGTGGCGAAACATCATCTCATGAGCGAACTCGATGCGAAAGCTCCCATAGATCAGAACGGACTCCACGTTGGCCGCTCGAATATCTCGAAAAGAATTACGTGCGCGCTGGCGGCGAAGATCAGGACAAATACCTTCGAGAGAACGAAACGATCTGAAGATGGATGCCGCGGTTCCTGCACGGAGTATTTCATGGTCTTGAAGAAGAGTACGGACATCACTTCGGCGATAGAGCAACATGTTGTCGGGTGCCTGAAATAGCGGAGTGCTCGAGAATCTTTTTTTTCTGTGCTCGACGTGTGAAGCACAATATTCGAAGTTGTGGAGTGAGATTTTGCTCCCAACTCTCGCGCTTCCGGGTATAAACAAAGACTCCACGACCTGGCGGGCATGGCAAGGTCAATCCGTCTCGAGAGTCGAATGATCGAGGACAAGAGCCGACCATGAGTTCGACCATCGCGCCGTGCTCCCGAACCCAGGGTCTTCTCCTCCAAGCATAGCTCCCTGATCCCTCGACCGACGCGTGCGAGCTCCCATCGCGCCGGTCGATGCCCTCAGCTCGGAGCAACCGGGCCCTTAATGAATTATGAGGGAGCGTCTGACATACGGTAAGAGCGTCAGGGATCATGTAACCACGATATAAGAATCAACTGGGTCGCTACGGCACGCTTGCAAGACGTTCGTGACGGCGCGATTGCTGGCCCGAATTCAGAGCTCCGCCAATCGAATGTGATTTCAGGTCAATACTCACCCTGAGTTGCTGCTCTGAGTTGATTCAATGCTCAGAATACGGAGCTTGTTTGCGATATCTCTCAAATCTTGAAGTTTTTTAGCGTCGGGTCGATGATATCCGGGCATTTTCGATTTAGGAGCGACTATCCACGTAAAGCACGCTTCCACTTCTTGCCGGTGTGACCAGTTTTCGTAAATATGTGCCTTGAGAAAGGGTCCCGGAGGGAAAGGACTGCGCCGTGTACGTCGACTGCTGACAGGAAAATGAACGGATCCGCGAATTCAGTCGGGAGGCCTCCCCGAAGACGAGTTATAAGGAGCATCCCAAGTTCTGCGTTTTCGAGGATGAGGGCCAAAAGAGGAGAAAGTTCTCCCGCCATGGGACAGCATGTTCATTCAGAAATACATAGAAAATTCCGCGCGGCGCTCATATCCACAAATGAGAGTCGACAAACGATGCTCGTTTCCACTAGAACTCGATGGCGCTTCTCCAGAACTTTCATGCGTCAAGAGAATAGACACCCACGCTGCCGTCACTATCAGGAATGAGGATTTCATTCTGTCTATGGGTGAGGGCGAGTAATTTTGTCGAATCGGATGGATCCCCGTTTTCTCCGCAGGGGAGGTTTTCTCGGGAATCGTGGTCGCGCATCAGCTTTTCTTATTGTTTTCCGTGCTGGATTGAGTTCGCCGAGTGGAGAAGAACCCCTAATACCTATGATACGAACCTAGAATGAATTGCACGATTGATCCATCCGATTGTATGCGACTTCCAATGAGCTCACCTATTTCCCGCCCCCTAGATCACTACGCCGGAGAAAATTCACGCCTCAGCCTACCAATAGATTCGCTCTCTCTCTTACAGCAACGAGCCCCTCAGGAGGCGCAGCCAGAACGCAAATGGAACTTCAAATCGCAATGGCCCGAGAAGTTGACATTAGTGGACGGATAGTACATAGAGTTTCGGGGAATACCGTCAATTAAACTGCGAAAAGTCTCGGCGGAGCTCCTTCATAGAAGGATTCTTGGTGCCGAGGATGTGACGCCAGCACAATAACATCTTGGCGGGAGATCTCACGAAGTGTCTCGACACGAGGTACCTCGGCAACGGGAGCTTACTCAGGCCCGCGTTGTCCAACCCGTTGATGTGATGAAGCGAAACATTCGCTATTTGGGCCATGAAACCTGGAGAAAGGAATTAGTGGTGACATCGTTCGTCCGACTTCAGTCGCTGACCACAGTGATTCCCGTTGCTTACCGGTGAAATAGACATCCTCTAAATGGAGAGGACGCTTTTTCAAATGGCGAGAAGTTTCCTTAGCCGTACGATGTAGAGCATCGGCTGCGGCTCGGTTCATGAAGTAGAGGGGACCCGCGGCGAAGGGGGGGAATCCCTTCCGTGAGTACTCTTCTTCGCTTATGTAGTATTTACTCGAGCGGTTGCGGTAAGGCTTCGCCCTTCGCTGAACGTGACCAAAAATCGAAGGTATCCGACGGAAGCTGGTCGAGTTTTTCGATGGGAACATGCGATTCTCCAAGAGAACATCTCGGAGTCTGATGGGGTTCACAAATGTGTCATCGTCTATTTTCACAAGGAGCTTCACGGAAGATGCGCATTTCTCCACGAAATTCAGCACGCTGAATGTTTTCAATGTCAAATTGTGGTATGTGTCCACGAAATCATACACAACTATATCCTTGTGCTGCACAAACTCGGCGGCGAGCTTCCTCGCATCGCAGCTCCTCGCTCCACCTTCCTCGGTCACGAGGCACCGACCGAGGAAGAACTTGATCGGTAGAACGCTCCCGAAAGTGTTCCGGATGGCGGTCCGGAGAAGGAAATTATCCGGAGATGAAAATATCGCGACAAGAACGGTGCGACGGAAATCGCATTCGGACGCTTTCCCGATCAGCTTAAGAAAGTCGAACTGCGATTTTCGATGCTCTCCCGAGTCGGGCTCCACGATTGCTCTCTCAAGTTCCGAACTTTTTGACGCTGTTCTCGATGCCGGTTGATAAGCTAGGAACTGTACGATGAACATTGTCGAACATAATAGGACGCTTCGAAAGAAACACGAAATATTTGCAAACCTCATGCTCCACGTCCGGAGTTTCCCATAGCTCACTCGTGGGAGAACCAGTAGAAACTTTGCGATAGCTTGAACATGACGCTCGTATCCGAACGGGACTCATGAAGTGCCGACCAGCCGCCCACTCGCTCGCTCGTTCGGGCGCACCTTGTAACTGAAATTGCCTCGCGTGATCGTGAACAGCAGTCGAAGCATCAGACGGATGTAAGTCTTGTTTTGTATTGCTAAATGTCGTTTTCGGTAGTTTGCATTCGCGTGAGTCCCCAAATAAGGTTAAGTGATTCCAGTAAATAGAAAACCGGTCGGAATCCCAGCTACGATCTTTCATATTCTGTTGCGCTTCCGAAACAGCGCAATTCGAGTCTTGCTCGCGCCATTCATCAATTGCCGTTGTCGTGAGGACATCCCCCGCTCCATAAGGACGTATGATTCTCGGCCATCATCGCGTGCTTCAGGACTGGGGCTCGGATGCTCCGTCAGGTATCGAGTTCCGTTGGGAATCCTCGGAGTCCTTCGGATCTGATCCCTGATCCGGGTTCCGTTGACTGCTCTCACCCGACTGACACGATGAGGATCGCGACTTGGGGACTCGCGACTTGTCAGATCGGAAACTCTTCTCGACGAGTATCCGTACGATCCCGCAATATCGTAATCCGATGATTATTAGACAGAGATCCTGATCCGAGGCGACCGTTGACCGCGGAATCATGGACGACGGGGCTGTTTCTTGGGACGTACGATTCGACCGATCGGGACCCGGGAGCCGCCCGAGCTCTGGCTCGCTTCATCAGAGCGAACTCCTGCTCCTAGATACCTATGTCTAGTAGAAAGAGAAGAATCCTGGCTCTGGTTGCGCTGTCTTGGTGGAAGGCATTCGCCCCTCTGCGCGAGAGTCTGACATAAGCCCGACCGCCGGCTGCCGGAGATGTCGGTCAAAATTCAAATCTGGCGCGCTCTCCTTTGCTTTCGTCAACAAACTCGGATACACAGTCACCGGAACTTTGTTCGGAACGCGTACAATTTCTTGCAACAAGCACAGTTGTCGTCCGCTGGAAGTCTGAACCTAACCTTTACCCGAGGGAGATTGTCTGTGAATCTCCGTGACGCAGGGTACTCAGGAGATCTGCCACCTGTGTCGTGACCAGCGCCACGGGCTCAACCCGAAAACAGAGCGCCTTAAGCGGCGACCGGGACCACCATCCCACGATTCCTCTGCAGTTCGGGCGACCAACCATGTAGTCGATCATCGGGTAGTACTTGGCGAAGAAGAAACAGAGGAAGCGACCGTAGCAAGGGACACAAGCGACCTGATCCTACCGGGATGTCTGACGCGCGGAAGATTCTGTGATACATGTGGAATTTATTGTGCTGTGGGCCATGTAGCATCGAATCTACCAAGCAGGATATGAATCGAACGATGGAAACATTCAGTGAAATTGTCGACTGTCTGCAGTTCAACACTATCATTCCCGGCTGTCTGTACTTCGTGAGTTGCACAGCTGATGTCGCAGTGAAGCTGCGCGCTCAGAAGAAAGTCACGGTGTTCAGTATCGACGAGGAGCTTGTCTACGAGAGCTTTTTCAATGACTTTGGACCGCTCAATTTGTCGATGCTCTATCGATACTGCGGATGGCTGCAGAAAAAACTCGCGAATGCCGCCAAATTACAGCGAAAACTCGTTCATGTGTGTGACACCAAAGCACAGAAGAGGGTGAATGCAGCTTTCCTCATGGGTGCCTTCCAAGTCATCCATCTGAATCGCACCAGTCGAGATGCCTGTGAGGCACTCAAAGCTACGGAGCCTTATATTCCATTTCGAGACGCAGCTGTGGGCCGGAGTACGTTCCCTCTGATGCTGGAATCGTGCGTGTCCGCGATCGAGAAAGCCCGCAAGCTCGGCTGGCTAGACTTCGGGAGTTTCTCGTGCGCGGAGTACGAGTTCTACGAACGTGTTGAGAACGGAGACCTAAACTGGATTCTGCCGAAAAAAATCCTCGCTTTTTGCGGACCTCATAACGTTTGTCGGACCGAGAACGGCTATACTTTACACTCGCCTGAAACCTACTTCGATTACTTCCACAAAAATAAAGTCACGGACGTCGTACGTCTCAACAAGAGAATGTATGACTCGAATAAATTCACCGAGAACGGTTTCAACCACCACGACCTGTACTTTCTAGACGGCGGCGTTCCCAGCGAGGAGATCATGCTGAAATTCATCGAAATTTGTGAAAACGCCCAAGGCGCCGTCGCCGTTCATTGCAAAGCGGGTCTGGGTCGCACAGGAACCCTCATCGGATGTTATATCATGAAACATTACAATCTTAACGCCCAAGAAACGATTGCCTGGCTGCGAATTTGTCGTCCTGGGAGCGTGATCGGAGGCCAGCAGATGTGGCTGCGGAACCGAGAAGAATTCCTGCACAATCTGCGGAGCAACATGATTTCGAATAAGAATGTGATCCAAGTGAAATCGGACGACGATCTGAAGAACGTACGGGAAACTAGGTGGCCGCGAAGAGCGACGAAGAACCGGAAACTTGAAGACGACATCCTACAATGCGTTGCCGAAATTAAAATAGAGTCGAAGCAAATTCTAGAAACACAGGGCGATCGACTAAACCGAGTGAAAGCACGACGTAAATTGGATTCGAAAGTCGACAAACTCTGACAATTAGGCCGCCCTGTCGGGATGACCACGCGTAGTAAGATCCGGCCGCGCAAAACCGTCAAACCTTGCCGAAGCTGCCCAGGCTGTCAAGTTTGAAGATGTTTCCCCGACAGGCGGCAACCAAACGCTCTGAGGTGCAATATGCCGAGTCGAATCTCAACATACCTAGGTAGCTCTATATCGAGGATTTTGTGACTGTACACTCGTCATGTAAAAATAGACTATTGAATCGATCCGACTGCACCGGAAACTTATTACGGATCCATCCCAAAATGATCACAACGAGGACCTTGCATTTTATCTCGTTTGGTCACCAAGTTCTTCATGGTGCTCGGACTGCCAGCGGTCCACCGATATAGACGACCCCATCCGCAGAGCCCTGAGAGGACCCTCGCGAGCGCATCCTGTGACGGAGCGGATTTCCGACCTCCGTGCAAGACGAGGGGTCTCTGCGAGAATTTCATTGTACCGCACCGGTTGCGAACGCGCGTGAATTAACCCTCTGGAGAAGGCGCGCCGATGGGAGGCAATGAAATGGAGAGCATAGAAATGTCTTACTGTTTTCCGTCAACTCGGTATTGTTGAGCTCTGAGTGCCTGATGACTCGGATATATCTAATATAAGGAAATGAAACACAGCAAAGGAATTCTAATGGAGATTCAACCTGAAATCATGGAAGCGGATCCCCGCTATCGATGGATCGGAGGATCCGAGAGAGTTCTAGAGGCTTTTCGCTGTTTCTTGGGATTCGAAAACTGTAACATGATAGATTCGATTTGGATTGACGGAACTTGTTACGGAGAACCGATTCCATCGGGACAGAGGGAAATTCGAGGTTCAGCAAAGATTGAGGCGTCTGGCAATCAGGATTATCCTTGGCGAAAAGCTTCGAATAAAATTTGAGCTCTTCAAATCACCGCTCCGTGGTCTCGAATTACTAGTAATCTCGTTGCTTTCCTCCTAGGATAAGTAGTCCCGAAATCTTCGAAGTCAGGAAATTTCTATGTTGGAAATAATTATTCTCGACATACCTAAGCTTCGTGCGAAGAGTGCCGGCCACGAATCACGGCACTCGAAGCTTCATCTCTGTCACTGTGCTTCATGTATCCTCTAGAATCCTCAGTGCTCGGCACTCGGCAGCTATTCGAAAAGCCGACGCAGCGTTTCCAGTGCGCCCCTGATACTATCCCAGCATTCGCAGCGCTGCCAAATTCTCGCGGAGAGATTGAAACATGCTCTTCATTTTTTCCACAGAAAGAATCGCTTTATTTCCTCTTTTTGTATCAGAATGGGAATTCAAGAATAAGTATCAACCTTGAGTCAAAGGCTTGAAGGTATGAAATTAATCACAGTGCAAGGGGAGGCGCCGGTGCTCCGAGTTACGTAACAATAGACATTCCGGGAAATTATCGTCTCATAATCATCCGAGTAATTTTTTCTCCGCGCATTGTATCCCCAATCAAGACATACGAAAGAATCCAGGATGAAAAAGTAGTTACATCTCTCTTCGGACAAATGCATGGAAAATTCACATCGCTCTTCGCGTGATATCGCTCGGGGCTCAACTCAAACCTCGAGTGGAGAAAGTAAATCGCTCTAGAGAAGTTCCATTATCCTGAACTCGATGAAGAGCTATGAAAAAAGAATCGATATCAGGAGACGGTTCCGGTCTTATCGCCCCTCGCGGTCGTCCTGATACGATTATCCCGTACTTTGAAGGAAGTGCATCTATCCTACGATCAGAAAATGCTCCGAAGCATCGACAAGGTCAAACTGCAAGGAAAAATATCGTTTTCATGGACGACGTGGGAGGGAAGGAGGGGACGAGTAGGTAGCAGGAGGGGCATATAACTACGGTGATACGATATCGTGGGAGTGGGTGGAGCCTTATAGGTCATGGGATTCTCGAGTGGAAGATCAAAGCACATCATTTGAGCAAGCGGGTTCAGAGATCAATTCATTCTCTGAGCGGACGGCCAGAACATAACACGATTCCTCCTTTCGATTCTCGAATCGCGAGGGTCGCACGATGCTGCGACACAGGGCGAACACCGATGAGAACAAAGCTCCGAGCTGAGGTCCGTACAGAAACTTCTGCTTGATTCCTCTCATACGTGAATGAAAAATAGAGTGCATCGTGTTACAAATATGAAGATATCTAACTTCAAGGAATGTCGCCAGTAGCGCTGATCTGGGAGGCACCTGATGTCGTGGACGGGAATCGAGCAACTCCATCCAGCGGTGCAGTTTTTGGTAAACAAATGGCCTTTGTAGGCAGATCAACTTCACAGTTGACGATGGCGTGGAACCCGAACTCCAAAAATCCGAGAAAATCTCGGGTTCAATCGCCAGCAGAAGTCCGTTTGGATTCGCGGTAAATCTCCACGCTGTCCGAGCTGACATTCGTTCCAGCTCATGCCGAAACGCATCTACTTTTCGAAATCTTATTCAACTTGCGAATCAGGAGGCGTAGAATCCACAACTTGCTTTTCCCGAACTGTCGATGCGGCTACGCATGAAAGCTAGCGAAGCTCATCTAATCAACTCTTAGCATCAACGGAACACGCCATAGAAACTTGAATTTGTGGTGTCGACGTTTCCAACTCCACGGCAAATCTTATCTTGGACGAAGTAATCTCACTAGACCGAGGACCTCTCTAGGCTCGTCGTTCCCTCTACTCGCGGTCCTCAGTTCTGTGAGTGCATAATGGGTTATGAGTATAATGTCTCATTAGTGATTTTTACAAACTGCTTCTTCACAAACCTATCTAATCGAACTCCTTGAAATTCTTGCCCTGGCCGAGCGAACTGCCGGGGCTCGTCCTGGAGCTCCATTGCTCCGCTTGCGCTGCTACACAAGTACCTCCTCATCGATAGACAGAACTCGATTCTGCCCATAGAAATGGTTATTTTCGTTGTAACTACCGATGTTGTTCGGGTGTATGTGCATTTTTCTCTGCGGGTTCATCTTCACTTATCAATTATCATTAGTGCTCGCAATGTAAACCTGGTCAACCACTTCTATTCGAGGTCTCTCCGTCCGCTCGATCGGCTCTGCGTCAATGATCTTCTTTAGCGTCAGCTGACATTGAGTCCCATTGGTGTAATGATAATAATCATAATATTACGCTGAGGAGGTGGTCTCACATCGGTATCATGGTGAATCGAGGAATGTTCAAGTGAGTAATGTATTCAATGATAATCGCTAGACGACCGGAAACCGATTCAGCATCGATATGGAGAAGACTGATGGTCAAACAGGCAGATAGTAGTCAGACATCAATCAACCAATCTGTCAACCAATCAATCAATTGATCAAAATAGTACAGGGTAAGTAGAGGCGAGAAAAAGCCAGTGCTTGTACGCGAGGTGTAAAAGCTGGACGTCGAGAGTTCAACAAAGGTCCACTCTTGTCGGAAAGTGCTTGTCCTTTCTCATGAAAACACCTGAATTTTTTTCGTTCCTCGAGTTTCTCACCGGTCGGCAAACTTCCCCTTCTGGGAGAAATTACTGAGTTTGAGAAGCTCGATGCAGGAAACCCGATTTCAATTTGATGGTTGTGTCAACAGTTCCCGATGTGATCGAAAGGAACGGCTTGTGAAGCTGAGGACCCAACCTCGTAACCGCACTCGTGAAACCAAACCAAACATCGTTTGTCTAAGCACTTGAACATCAATTCCGAGTGAGAAATCTAGGAGAACTCAACTCGATCTACTCAGAAGTTTCCTTTTCCAAGAGATGCAGCTAGAAGATCTGATGAAGATATTCAACTCCGAGAGAAAAGTCTGTGAGATATATCCTTTGTTCAGTGTGTGGAGCAGGGGTATGGGCGCAATCGGAGACGAGCTCCGGAAAACAGTAAGAACATCTAGGCTTTCCTCCAGAATCAGATTAGTTCCGTTCTCGAAATTTCCTCGTCCCCCGGAATCGCTTCTGGGGGACACCGATGTTTCATCGGCAGGTGTTCTGCAGAATCGTTCCCAATCGACAAGTCCTGAAGTCTCCGGTATGGTTCCCTCGATCGCGAATGAATTCTGAGTGCTCGGAAAATGTAGCCGAATTTTACGTCGTTGTGTCACGCCAAGAATTCCGCCGGGGACAACGCCCGCAACTCAATTTCCAACCGGATTTTGTAAGAGCTGGCCTTCAAAGCCTGTATGGCGTTTCGATGTTCTACCTATCGTTCAGCTATGGACAGGCTCATCACGAGGAGCTCTGGCCCTCGCAGCTGTTCCGAGGAAACAGCTCGGTTTCACTTTTCCCCTCATCTCTACATTGACAATCACAACCTTGTTGAGTGTGGGTTCACAACCGTTCCACGGACTGGAAGGTTTGTTGAGGTCCGACCTCGAGATCATACCTATAAAATAGCCTCCGGCCATCCGAGTGGTACGATTGATTTTTCTGGCCCAATAATCTCTCAAGCCCCCTTCTCGCTGGTATATCCCTGGTAGAGTCCCTTAGAGTTTTTTCGGGAAGCTGAGGACTGCCAGCTGAGGGCTGAATTTGAGGTCCGTCCTAATCTCCCGCTGGGATCTTCGTCGAATGCAGGAGCCTCCTCATTACCCCGTCGCATGCGGAACTTCGAGAGACGTACCACTCGACTGGCGGGAGTTTTCCATAGTCCAGTTCCGATTATGAGTTGACAGATTTAATTAGTGAGTATCATTTACGTATGCGGTTTATCATATCCGGTGTTTCCGCTTTTAGGTGTTGGGTATAGGCTCAATCTCTTACTTTTTTAACACTAGAGTGGTTCGCCTCGTCTCTACATTTCGTGCACTATTGTTTCGTTTCTCCGTGATCTTCAATCTTTCGAAGCAGGTTTTGTCTTCCATCGAGTTCCTCTGGATTCATTGATGTCACAAACTATACACTCGCGCTAAGCTAATTGGATTCGATGCCCTCGAATGCTGAACTGATTACAGCGCGTGCAGATGGGCAACAGTCCGGCACCGTGAACATCTTGAAGGCATACGGAGTTGGCGATTTTTTCCGCTCCTTCAACCCTCTCGGATCGAGATTGGAATTCGTAACGTTCAGTGCTCATTGTCACCGTAGGTTGCCCGTCTCCGATCGAAATCTGGCCAGCTCGACGGGTCATCGGAAGGCATCGATTCTTCGTTGGCATGAGGATCTTTGAAGCTTTTCAATGAGATCGATAAATATTTGTAGAACACAACAGCGGACAGGCAGCACAACCAGAATGCGATGCAAACTCGCCATTACCTAGCTCAGCTTAGTTCAAGGAGGTTGTGGCGGTCGTTTTTAGAAGAAACAGCTTTTTGTTGGCGAAAGAGTAGACTTTCCTTTTCTGCGTCTCTAAGTAGGTGAGCGCCTCTTGCGAGACCAATCGCGAAAATATTCACTCATCATCATATGCCAGCAGAGCACCATCAAGAAGCCGAGGATTGCTCTGCGAACAAGCGCGACACTCAGAGACGGAAGAAGACACGAAAGGAAGCGTTGCCCTTCGTTCCGGCAGCGCTCCCCCAATCAACTCCAGTTCTCACAACCAGGAACACATCGGTATGGCCGACGAAGCGTAGATGGGAGCCGAAGCCAAAAAAGCTTGGCGTCCTGAAAGCACCTTGTCCGGCGTACCGATAGGGACAACCTTCAGTCCGGACAAAGAAGAGTCCGGTTGCACAACGCGGAGCGCTAGCCCCTCAGAAAACGAGAGAGAGTGAACACCAAGGAAAGAATGTAGAAAGTTCACCGAGCCGAGTGCACCCGGAAGCCCGACCGAGCTCGGAGCCCGGCTCCGGGGCCCGGGGGTTTCGAGGCCGTCAAGTTTGCGTCTGCACCACGTAGCAAGCAGGTTTACGGTGTGAATACCGAAAACTGTGTTCGGTAGTTTTCAATCGGCAGCCTAGTATACAGGTTACGATGCTTGATCATACCGCTATTACCATATGAGTCCTGGAGTGGGACAAATACCATATGGTAAATATGTTTATTCGAGCGAAGCAGTACAACAGCAGTTCTCACGTCGATCGTCGGTGTTTGCACCGTTCGATCTCTACGAGTTTGTTCCACGTTGCGTGTTCAGGAACTGACTGATTTTTGTACCTCGATGTGGCCTATCTTGCGGACAGAAGTTTCTTAGCTACAAATCTCCTCGATATCCAAACCCAATATCGTCGAGCTCGAGATCTATCTTGTTCCCAGAGGAGTGTAAACTTGGATCAAGTTGAAGTTCAGTTTCTCTCGGGGTGGTTGGTAGCTCTTAAACACACGGAGTATATCACAACATTCGTACAGTCTGGTCTGTTTGCGCACAGACCAGGTTGCATTCTAGCGCAGGGGAAGGGGGCAATGTTCTCACAGTATATATGAATAAATATCTGTCGTGTGACGTAAGTCTGGCCTAGTAATTGCATCAGTAGGTGTTTGCGAGTTGCGGTGTTCGGCTAACTAAGTTTATGCAACGTTCTCGACGTAGTCGCCGTTGGGGATTTCAGCTTGTGAAGTTGAAACTTCGTTCGTTGATGAGTCTCCTAGCGAGGATAGGAGATCATCCCCAAGAGATTCGACGTCATCTCCGCTATCTGCGTCTAAGAGTTTGACTGGTTCCGGTGGAGGCCTTTTGAGACCTGTAAAATCATAGTAATCGCGGTCAGAGCGACCGCGGAAGATTTCCGGATGGAAGGGCAAAAAATTTTGAAGGCCGATTGTAATCGGTGAAAACGGCATCCTACGGTCTCCGGCAGTCTCGCTACCCACCGAAGATCATTCTCCAACTCAGAGATCTAGAGGCAAGAAAATCGACTCACTTGGAAGTTTCGAGGGCGGTTGCAGTTGCGGTAAGTCCTTTAGCGACGGAAGCGGTTTCAGTGGAGATAATTTATTGTTGTGACTCGTCGTGGTCGAATGCATTTCGACTGCTTTCTGAGATTCTGGTCGAGATTTTTCAGGTGATCGTGGCGGACTGAACACTGTTTTTTTTCGGGGCTCCTCTTCAGCTTCGAGCTGCTCGGATTTGGAACTTTCTTCTTTGTCGCCTCCTTCGTTGTCGAGTTGGGCGAAGAATGACTGCTCGGCAAACATTGTTTGCACGTCAACGTTTTGCCGATTTGTCGTTGTTTCTGTTTTTCGGGGATTCAGCGCCGAATTCACAACCGAGCTCAACAAAGGTTCCTCCAAAGAGGTTCCGATGTCCAGTTTCGCGGCTGTTTCTTTGCGATTCAAAAGCGTCTGTGGAGTAAATTCTCTAGTCGGAAAATGCAACCACGATGCCACGGCTTACGGAAGTGAGTCCACTACGTTCGAGAAGGGGAAAGCAGGAGCTTTAGCCGTTCCCCACGAGGCAAGGGCAGAAAGGGAACGGAGGGTCCTACTTCGACCAAGCGGACCTAATTCAATTCGTACCGGTAACAGGCTCCTTCCTCTGTACCTACTCCCGGCTGGAATGCAGGCTCGGCTGTTCCACTCGACGGAAAACCAAACAGTCGGTGGTCGACCGGTGGGTCGGGTGGGCGCAGCGCATGGGAGTAGCTTGGAAATTTCGTGGCTCAGGACTGGGTAAACTAGTCCACAATGCGCAGCAGGTCGACTCGCGGAGGATAACAAGCTCCGAAACACAGAGGAGAACCCGTCCAAGAGAAAACAGGGGGACATGGGTCAGTGTATGCGAGTTTTCGAGAAGGAAACAGGAGCCCTGCAGGAGCCCGAGCCAGAACGCTCATCGGGAGCAGAGGAGAGCTGTGGGGTTCGAGAGCGGAGTTTTCTGTCAAACGAGTCCGGGAGAGCCGGGATGCCTTTCGTTAGCATTGTTGACCCTCCCCCTCTTCGACTGTAACGAGCGCGTCCTGGACAAGATCTTCCTCCACGCTTCCGACCCCCACCTCGATCATCGAGGCCATCACCATACAAGATCACTCACCTTGGCCTGTACTTCTGCTTCGAATACGGACATGGTGAAATTTAGATCTAAGCATTGCAGCAAGTCCTTCACGAGGGACAGCGCTAAGCGGCCTTCTTCGTGGCCGCTGAATTGCAAGGCTCGCGATGGAGGCAGCTTTCCACGAAGCTGGTTCGAGTCATACAGAGCCTGGAACACCCGGGAGCGCAGTTCAGCCTGAAAAATCGCGGATCAGACAAATTAGGGCAAATGTATCGGTTTTGGAACACCTGGGCAAAATTCACGTTGATTCCTAGCTAATTTGAATGGGGGACCAGTTTTGGAGCACTACATAATAGCCTATGGGACAACATCGTGACCACTCATGGAACACGATGTTAAATCTCTACTTCGAAAACTAGTACGTGTTCCATAAGTGGTATCGTTCCAATGGCTCGATATGTACGTGTACGGAAAACGCCACGGCTACGGAAGCCAATAGTGAAGGCTCTGCTCCGCCCTCGACGGGGTACCTGATACGTACAGCCGGAGAACTCTCGCAAGCCCATTCTCGTACGGGGATCTCCATGCGTCAGGAGGGGGTGAGGCTCTCTGGGATCCATATGTCTTATACCGGCCCAATAAGATTCATTCATGAGCCCCGCGACTCTCTCGACTCGAAAACTCATTCCATTCTCCGATAAACCTCTGGAACGAGATCATTGGAGGAATCTCGTCGAGAACCCACTCACGCCGCTGGTGTGAACGTGGAGCGGGCACGGCCCCATGTCCGTCTCGCCCCGGGCTGAAACGAAGGTTCCTCTCGAAAAACTCACCTTGATCTTGCTGAGCGCTCCGGAGTCTTCAAGGAGCTGCAGAACAGCATCTCTCAGCTCGAGATCACCTTCCTCGCTGCTGAGAGCCATGCTCAACTTCGGCAAGCGGAATATACTATGATGGACCCATCAAGCCTTCACTGGGGTCCGGACCCACTACTTTTACCCCACACCGTTGCCATGGTAACCACGTTATACGACGTATGAGCTGCGGGTCCTCGCCGGGAAAATGCTCTCCGGATCCGGCTCGGAATAAATCGGAGTGCTCCCGAGAAGAGTTCCTGAAGGAGCCGATGAAACTCAGCGTAGGTCGCTCGCGCCTTTCTGGCTGCTTCTGGGCGACAATAACAGTGTCCGGCGATCGCGCGCTCACCGTTATTCGAATTTGGCGCCGAAATCGATTTTCGCGCCAATCGAGGAGACAGTCATGTCCGAGAGGCGTTTGAAGATCTCCTAAATCAGAAGGCTGAAGCAATGTCGGGGAGTCAGGGAGCTCGAGTGCTAGTGACCTGTGCCGGCCCTCCCATTTCCGGAATTCGATCGCAGGCGCCCTCTTATCCTCTCACTCTCGCCTCTCATCGATGAGCCGCGCTCCCAGGAGCAGCAGCTCTGCCGCTAGCCGAGTTCGCGATCGCTTATTCATGGAACGCTTCCGGATCTAAGAAACGAGGCGCGACACAATCAGGAGGAGCAAATTTATTGCGCTCACCGTTGGTCGCATTCCCCAACGGAACCAGATATCACTTCGGAGAAAAATCGGAACGAGCTCCGAGCTATGAAGTATGCTCTAAACTCGGAAGATGAGACTCAATCTCGCGATCCCTGATAAATTCGCTTTCCGCACGTAGAAGTCTGCGGCTGAGGCTGGCGGGTGCGTTGAACTTCGTGAAGACGGAAGTATCTCGGAGGAAGGGGGCTGGGCTGGACCTGTACGGGGCAGGGAATCCGGAGGGGACATCCGCTCCCCCGCTTGACCAATACGAAACTATGGCCTGGGGTTTGGGCTAAAGCCCCATCCAGCGTCGATGTGGATACGCTTCTGCTTATCGCTCTGCTCAAGAGACATTCTATGTATCTCTGTCATGAGAATACGAAAGCTCGAGATGAAAGTGAGGGAAAGGCTTTTCCACAGTGACCAGAGCCCACGGAATGACTCCTAATCTCTCTGTCGCCGACGACTTTGAGAGAATTCCCGACCAAAATGTCGGATGGATCCGCGCCGTCATCCAGATTTATCGTATCTCTCTGAAAGTCTCCCTAGAGGAATGTGAAGTCGGGAAATGATGCGATGACTTCTGGTTGTATACATCATGATCTGAACCTCCCGCTCCGTTCATAGCTGCCAACTGCCGTATCATTACGATCGCGCGGATTCGATGGAGCCTGCCTGGCGCTTCCTTGTCCGAAAAAGATCACCGCCATCATCGGCTCTACTGTTTTTCGGGCCCTCCCCGTTCGCTGTATACCCCATCAGCGACCTTTCAGTCGAGAAAAAGTTCTCCATCCGATCTGGAGCTCCCTCCCTCACCGAAAGTCAATCGATTCGTGAAGCGCTGCTAATCTTCCATCCATCGGCAGAGCTCAGCGCGTCGGCTGCTGCGATCAACTTTCGCCTGTCTGTCCGTCTGTGTCGTCTATCTATCTCTCGGGTGCCGCTAGTGGAGAGCCGCCGTCGTCGTGAGGAAGAAGTGTGCGTTGTGCTGTCGAGAGTCGAGATCACTTCGAATTCTGAGTAACTTGTGTCATTGCTGCAAATTTTCACAGTAGGCGAAAACATTTGAACGCCGTCTCTGAAGGCGATGAAAAGCTCGCCTTCGGCTTACGTTGAGTGATGTTATGCCTCATTACGATGCCTTGGTGCACTTGCTCGCCGGAGGGTAAGCTACTGACTTGCTTGCCGCGATTAATGCGTAATATCGAAACTCTCCACGAGAATAGTGAGGTGGGCAGCTGATTGATGAATTTCCCGATGGGCGCGATCTCAGCCGCAACGCTCTAATGAAACCGTGCGATTATCTTTATCAAGGAGCGCTCACCTCATCTGGTCATATGGCGCGTTTTGATTGATGCGCACTCGGACGTCGCTGTAAGAGCTCCGAATGACTCCGATATCGATCGAATGCTATTTATGCGCTCATCTAATCTACGATGGATGATCGTCGAATCCACGGGTTCGAGTCGGAGGGTGACAGTCGTTAAGATGACTGCGCCGATAGCCTTCCACGCGGTACAACAGACGACTGCACTTTGTCTCGTGGTGAGGGCTGGCGGCCCGTGTCGCGCGCTGAGCCTCCCTCCGATCGAGCGCAGCTCCGAAAACAAATCGTTCATTCGAGATTCCCCAGGAAAACAAGTGTCATGACGAAGCCATTTTCGCCGTCCCATGACGAAATGTTTCCTCAAGTTGAGAGATGCCTGATTTGTCCTCATTCCGACGTCCCCCTGTGGGACTCGTGATTTACTCGCATCTCTGCTCAAGCCGCCTCCAATGCCTAATTCCGACACGGGTGCGACAACCGATGTCGTGATTCATTAAACGACTTCTCACTCGAGCCAATTACGTCTTGAGGGGATCGGGGAGTAAACATTTGGGCTTGATTCTGGTTTCCTGTGTATCTTTGGATTTTTGGCGCTAGCAGCTGAGTGCTGAGGCTTAGTACCAGAAATGTATTATATCATCACACCTCTATCACCTAGCGTCCCTCCGAGGTTCGCAAATAACTAGAGATCATCGATACGTGCCAGTATCGAACTCGGTCTGTTAGAATCGCCCCTTGAGATTACAAGAATATCATGACTCTCCCAACAAGTGTCTTTGACGTCGTGAAGACCCGGTCACTCTCGTGATTGCGTAGAAGACCACCCAGGCCTGTTGCATTCCGATCCATCGTGAAACCGAGCATTTCTCTTTCAATCTTTCGCCTCCAATAATCGACTCCCGAATTCCGTATCGTTGCATTCACCTTGCGTGGGCTCCACGATATCCTCGATTTCTTCTTTATCATAGTTTTTCCATTTCGGGCATCGAAGTATGTAGCTTCATTGGGTCATATCTCGACCCCTGAATCGCGGAAGGTCTCTGCTCACGAAAAGCTCGACCGTCTCTCCCTCGAAATTTCCGATGGAACTTGTCTCATATGTACCGCAAAAGCGCGACGGAACGATGCCCGACCAAGGGTTGGCCGGGAACGCCCAGCCGATGTCGATACTCGTACAGGGATCGTGAAGTTTTACACCGCGTCTCTCTGCTCTTCTCTGCCTGCGCCTCAAGACTGGAGCTGGTGGAGCAGATACTATAATCGTGGGGGTGTTCGGGCCTGTGACAACATATTGCCCGATTGTCGCTCATCGATCAGTGATTTCCATTTCGCCTCTTAATGTGACGCGTCTCCTTACAGGTTGGGCGGAACAGTCGGCGCCATTGTAACGTGTCCGCTCGAAGTTGTAAAAACTCGGTTGCAATCTTCAGTGTCTCACTTCAACTTGTCGGGGCCGCCGTCCATCGTTAATCGATTTTATTCGCTCGCATTGGGAGCCTCCGAGCCGCCACTCAATGCACAGAACAGCCAGCTCGGCATATGGAGGTGTTTGCGGTAAGTTCGGAGTTTGGGAGAGCCCCTCTCGGATGCTTCTTTCCCGGTTTCGGAATCCAGCTCTTGCTTCAACGACCAGCGTTGCTGTACTCTAATAACTCGGAGGACCTGGCTGGCCTCATTAGATTATGTCTTCATGTTCGAGAATGCCCCCACCTCAGCTGTTCGTTCCTTGCAGATACATCGTTGAGACTGAAGGGGCCAGAGCGCTCTTCAAAGGTTTGGGACCAAATCTTGTTGGCGTGGCTCCATCTCGAGCGATCTACTTCGCTACCTACTCCAATTCGAAAAACTTCCTCACCGACACCCTGCCACCCGATGCACCGGTATCGGTCACTCACATACTTTCCGCCGCGGCGGCGGGTGAGTTTTTCCTCCATATCGTGTCCCGCTCCCGGATATTCCCCTACCTACCCCCTTAGGATAGCTTACAGCGATTCAAATTCGGTGCGGAAAATTCTCTTGAATGTCGAATACCGTTTTTCCAGGTTTCGTATCGTGTACTATCACCAATCCGGTATGGTTTGTGAAAACGCGGCTACAACTCGACGAAAATAGCTACGGTAGGAGGAAACGAACTCTTCAATGTATTAAGGACATTCATCGCACCCATGGACTTGTCGGATTTTACAAGGTGTGCATCGAATCCCCGTCAGGGCTTAGAAAATCCCGCATCGAATCGCGACCCTAGATTCGCGTGCAATCTCTGTCGGACCTATAGGCTGTCTTTCTCTCGATTTCGAAGGGGGGACCTAGAGTATTTCGATCGTTCCCTCCTAGAGCTTGAGAATCGGCTGAATTCATCGGGATTCGTCATCTTTCCCGGTCAGATTTCCCCACCGCAGAAGTCAACGCCTCGTTATTACAGGGAATCACTGCGTCCTACTTTGGCATCACGGAGACGATCATACACTTTGTCATTTACGAGCATATAAAAGCAGTCTTACGGTCACACGCCGACGAGAATAATCATTTTGCTCATTACATGGTACGTACCAAAGTGACTTGACCACTGATTGATTTCGTACTCGCCTCTAGTAGGTCGTGCCCACTCATACTTATAGAGATGTAGGGAATAAATATCGGCATATACGGAGGCGTCGATAACACCCGACCTCAGCTCAACGGGAGAGGAGAATAAATCGAAGCTTGTCATCCACAGATTGCGGGAGCGATCTCAAAGACGTGTGCGAGTGTCATCGCCTACCCTCACGAAGTGGCCCGAACGCGACTACGACAGGAGGGTTCGAAATACACGGGATTCATGCAGACGATCGGTCTAGTGTACAAAGAAGAGGGCTATTCGGGTCTCTACCGGGGTCTGGGCACTCAACTCGTCCGGCAGATTCCGAATACTGCCTTGATGATGACAACCTACGAAGGCGTCGTTTTCATGCTCACCAACCAGACTTCCAATTTATGATGCGACCTGAAGCGAAGGTGAAACCAGATACGACGATGTCGAATACCAGACCTCGACTCCCGTCACGCGAAAACGTCGATCGAACGGACCCCCACGGCGGTCGCTCGATGTGTCCACCAAACGACGATTTCGTTGACACTGGTCAATCCCATGCCAAAGATGAGCTACGTAGCTTTGTCCCACTCGGCGTTCCCTTGAAACGGAAACCATTAGCGTCGCACCCTGTGCGTGAAGGAAGCCAGAAAGCACCTGACAGAGAGCTGTTCCGAATACAGAGTATATTTTTCTGTTGTTAAGACGGTTTGTTAACGCCTTCTTGGTCAGTGTAAATTATAATCATCTGTTGCCGTGTTGAAGATGTTCGACACCCGAAAGAGGAGGAGAACGGAGAGAAATGATTATGACAATGACAATAATGCCTAGGCTCCTACCACCACAGTGATGTCAATGTAGGTCGAGTTTCCCGCGGAGTTCTCGAACCATTGTCCCCATTTTTCGTAACGACTTCAGAAATTCGTAATTATATAATAATATGATATGATAGTATTAAATCAATTGGCTCGTATGTATTCCTTCATACCGGTGACGTCTAAAAGCGCTCAAAGACTGAATGCGCTCGCCTATATAAGCGCTTCGACTGAATGCGCTCATGACTAGATGCGCTTATGACTCCATGCGCTCGGGACTGACTGCGCTATGACTATGAGCGCTCATGACTAAATGCGCTCGGGAGTGAATGCGCCAAAATATTTATTGCGCTCAAGGTTGAGTTGCGCTCATGCTAAGTGCGCTCAAGGATGAGTTGCGCTCATGACAAATGCGCTCATGACAAGTGCGCTCATGTTAAATCGTACTTAGAATGCTCGAGGAGCAGCGCCTCAAATCGTAATACTTCTTTCGCGATTCCACCAACTATTAGGTCAGGTTAGGTTAGTTCCCCGGGCGAGCGAAGCGAGCATATTCGGAAGCTATGACAGGCGAGCGTAAGCGAGCATATTCGCAGCTATGACATTGTGAGGCGGACTAAACCTAGGTCAGTGAGGTGGTGTCCCCCCCCACCGCACTTACGTAGGTTTATAGCCGAACCACATCCGGAACTATGTATGCCTTCACTATGAACGAGCGCATATAGTCGTGAGCGCATTTAGTCATGAGCGCATATAGTCGTGAGCGCATTTTTTTAAAGCGCAAATAGTCTCTGAGCGCAAGTGTCCCGAGCGCATATAATCTTATAGCGCATTTTGTCATGAGCGCATTCAGTCCCGAGCGCATTCAGTCATTAGCGCATTCAGTCCCAGCGCATTTAGTTATGAGCGCATCGAGTCATGAGCGCTTCCAGTCGTGAGCGCATTCAGTCTGTGAGCGCTTTTAGACTACACCCCCTTCATACATAGGGTATGGATGATATTTGATTTTCGAAAGTGCGAACCTCTATTTAGATCCAATAATGTCCATCCTCAGATTGAGAATCCGGGGAGTAATTCAGTGAGGAAGGAGAAGATTTCTGGGAGCTCCCAGGGGGAGCTGATCGCGTGTCGCGCCCCATTCGTGATGGAGGAATCGGGATCACAATATAAGCAATCATCAGCGTCGGGATACAAGCTGAGCGGTTCTAGCGGGCCGCGCTATGCTACGAATGCCTCGTGCATCGAGGCCGACATTCGAACACTTGAGGAGCGTTTTCCCCGCCGTGCTTTCCATGTTCCGATTGAAGCCGAGTTTGAGCTTGAGTTCGTACCAAGGCAGAACGGCTTTCGAAAACTGCGAACGTTCCATCTTTAAGGAAACAGAGCTGACCGAGTGTGGTGCATCGCATCGGAGTCAGATCGCGATGACGCCCGCGGTCCTGTTAATCTCGGGTGAAGGAACTCTGAAATTATCGGAAGCAGTCCCCGCAAATCCGCCATGAGAAGCAGGCGGAAGAAGAGCCCGTCCTTCCATGCCACCAACCACTCATTGAGCCTATCCATCGCATGACTGACTGCCGGTCGGCCCCGCTCATCGTCATCTTGTATGGCGAAATCGGCTAAAAAAAATATGACATCGGCTAGATGGCTCTCGATAATTCCCCTTCTCAAGATCTCTCCATAGATCTCTCTCATCCGTGTCTACGTCTCATACCGCATGTGCATGCTATCCCCCTCCTCATCGAGGATAAATTGATTCGGAAGACGTCCCCGCATGAACTTTCGGAAGACATCCCCGCATAAACTTTCGAAAGCCACTACGGTGAGAGTCTCCTCGACCGCACGAGTATCGGGACGGGATCCGAGGGTCGCGGTTGCTCCATGGACTCGGGCGCGCCGCAATCTCCCGTCCCGTAAGTGTACCGAGGCATAAAGAGAGCAGCATCCGATATTCGGACCGCGCTCTCCAAGTTTTTCGAAACACACGAATGAGGGCCGGGTCTGGATTTTGTCCCTAGACACGACATGCCAGTTGAAGTCCTGTCTGGGTGCACACACGGACTTCCCTCTCCTCTCCCGGCAGCAGCTTAGCAGCTACGTTGCAAGAAGGCGACGACTCTGTAGTAACAGCATCTAGAGCAGAAACCTTTGTCGGAGCGAATGTCCGTATCTTGTGTTCTCCAGACAGTGGGCTCTTCGCTAGACCTCACACCGATATCGTTCGTGTTAACTGTTCAAGATGAGTGTTGACTGAGCGGGTATTCCGTTCCCACAAGTCACAGCTGTGACAATCAAGCGATTCTCAGGTGCGGAAAAAACGCACGGAATGAGGTCCGGTAATCCTCGTCCGGTTCGTTGTCGTTGTCAACAGCTGTGATGGAAACGTGGGTTCATCCTCGACGGATTTGACACCAGGTTTCGGTCATGCCTCGAGGACGCCATCGCGTCTTCCGTGAGGAGCGGGAAGCCCTGCTGAGCTTGGACTCGGACCAGTCTAACAACTGGGTCCAGCTGAGAAATCGAGGACATCAACAGGACTCTCCGACAGTTGGCTTTGTGCAGCAACACCAGCAAGGCGGCAGCGGCGGTTCTCAGATTAAGAACAACAACATCAGCAACAACAACAATAATCCGTTCGCATCGAGACTCGCCCGCTTCGACTTCATAAGCCATGAAGTTCAACCGGGTGAAACACTCGCTGGCATCGCGCTGCGGTATAATTGCAAACTGCCCCATTTGAAACAGGCGAATAATCTTTCATCTGAGGCACATCTTGCGGCTCTACCGTACGTCAAAGTTCCTGTGCCTCGTAACGGTGTGCAAACGGGACAGCTGATCGACATTTCGACCAAAGTTGAAATTCGGAGAGAAGGCCCGCCCCGGGAAGAATTGTGTCCCCAGCGGTTCATGGAAAACCTCGATGAGAAGCTGAAAGAACTCCACAAATCAGCACCGCCCCCGGTCACTCCGCCGCCAATCACCGAGCTTCCAGTGAAACCTCGCACTTATTTCAATAGCACTTGTCTACTGGTTACGTGCCTTGTTGGGGTTTGCATCGGTTTGCCTATCTTTTACACAATGTACATACTCGCAAACGGAGACATGTTCAGAGTCATGGGGGCGATTAGATAGCGCTCAGATATTCGAAGCGAATCTGTGAATAAAGTATTCCAATAATTGAAGTCCGATAGTCTCGTGGCCTAGAGGCTCATTGAGATGACAAGTCATTGGCGAGATTTTTTATTCGTCTTCTTATTATTCATTATTGTCTTCGAGTAATTCGACGCCTGCTGACTTCAGCGAATTTGACTGGGCCGCTCCCGGTCACTCAGTCTCTGTCTCCAGCGTATTGGCGTTGGATGGAAAGGTCTACCGTAGTTCCGCTGATGATAGGGCATCCCAAAAAGTCAACTTCGCTTTAAAATATTCCCCTCATGAGCTGGTCGGGTCATTACGAATCCATCTTGAAGCTCTCTCTTGCGCGCTCGGGATCGAACTGGTTTGGAATCGCCAGCTCTCAAGGGAAATATCCCAGGGGGTCCCGAGGTTGACATTTGGGTTACCCCTCTCTGCGAGGAAATCTAGGGCAGAGGTTCCCAAACTTTTTCTTCCGCGGAACCCTTCGCGGAACCCCTAGTGTTCCGTGGAACCCTTCCTCATTTTTCAAAAAATTCGAAGTCCTGTCAATTGCTGTTTCCTTTCGGCTATTAGAGGAAAAACCACTCGTTTGTTCAGGACCAGACCCGATGTTCATTGCTTGAGTCAATTCTTGCGTAAATTAGGAATGCTCATCTAGTGGGAACGTGCCTTGTGCAACGACCTTCGCAGTGTGCATTCGTTGTCGATCGATGCGCCAATTAGAACGATCCCCTTCGGGATTGGGGAAGACATTTGGAATCAGGAAAAGAAGTTCTCCACGGGGCTACGACACATAGGGCCCATATATGACCGTACATATGGAAGCAAAACCTCGTCGCGGAACCCCGAGTTGCGCAAAGAGCAGCCCACGGAACTCTGGGGTTCCGCAAAGATTTTTTCACGGAACCCCCGGAAAAGAGCGACGGAACCCCAAGGGTTCCGCGGAACCCAGTTTGGGAAACTCTGATCTAGGGAACGGAGCCCGAATCTGCCGCTGTCATCGATGATATCAGAAGGGTCGGAGGAGCGAGATACCCATCGGTGGCCCCGGTTGTTGTGATCTCTTCACTCCGCATCTTATTGACTCCGGTATCATCCACACCTCAAATATCGCGAAATAGTTCCGAACTTCCTCCTCGACTGGTTCATCTTGTTGCGCCGTGATTCGCACGCGGTCTTGATTGATCGCCGCGATGGATCAGGAATATCCAAGGAGTCAAGGATCCCGATCGTAGGGGAGACGTCCGATTAAGACCCTCCGCCGGGAGCCGAGACCGAACGCCGTTCCCGGGACCATGCGTCGAGGAACCGAATAGCGCTGAATACTCACTTCGGGGAGGAGCAGATGTCTGCGGGTCGATGGTCTCTGGGAATCAGCACATACGAAGCAGCCACGGACCCACGGTAAAATAGGTCGGCCATCTCTTGAGACAAGAGAAGCTCGGAGCAGAAATCGATTTTTCGAGGATGCTAGGATGAGCTCGATGAAGGCACATTGATTCACTCCAACGTTCGAAGACCCTGCGGGAAAATACCATGATGTGGAAATACCCGGGGTGTTAAGTAACGGAGAACGACTACTTATGAGTCAGGCGGGAGCGAAACAAAGAGTTCATAAAATGCAGGATGAGGGATGGAGGGGAGGCATGTTGCGGCCGCCTGACTCCAGGCTGAGCAGCGAAAGAAGGGCGGCCTCCCCCTTTCCTGATTGAACTGCCACAGAGGGGGCGCCCCGCTACGCCGCTGCCACATCATTCTAATCGAACCTCTCCTCCCATTCCATGACGTCCTGGGATCGAATGTCCTTGCACCCTGCTGAACGAGAAGGCGGGAGCGTTCCCCATCCCACCCATCGGAGCTTTATCGTGTAGAGGTAGTCTGCCATCGGAGCTGAAGAGCTGTTGGAAGGCGTTACTTATGTAGAAGAGCGGCGGAATCCACGTCCCCGGAGATTGGTCGAATCCTCTGAGCTCCATCTCGAGAAAAATCGAGGCTCAATCTTATGTAGATCTGTAGATAGATCGTCCACCCCGAATCGCGTTGGTACCGTGGTATGAAGATCATGTTCATCCCTTCGGATAGAGAAAATGTTCAAGAAATCGATGGCGCAAGTCGAATCTCGCTCGCGGCGCTTGATTTATCCCCAAGCCCATTCGGATCTTTCCGAAACGAGCACCTCTTCATTGTGCGATGGACAGCCGGCTCCTCCCCGTAGCCCGTATCCTATCGTCCTGGCGATTGTAGTGCTGAGTTCGGTTGCGGTCAGTGGCGTAGATCTAGGGAATGGTTTCCGCTCCAGAATTCGTATCTATTCCGACAACGAGACAACGAGTCAATCGACTCCATATCTGCTGAGGGTATGTTGCGGTTCCGCGTGGCCGCCAAGAGTCGGTGGAATAACACCGATCTGGTGACCGCGGGGAAGCGCTGTCGATGCTGAGCTTTGAAATAGATTAATGCGAGACGCTAGGCTGATACCGGACACTGAGCCTTTGCATCGATACCTCGATCAACTGCGTCGCTGCCGCAGCAAACTTCCGGCCCGTTTCATCGAAGACACGCCAAGCTAGACGACGCCCTCTGTGCTGCGAGTCGGGTTGTCTGAGTACTAAAACTCCAGCTCCAGGAAAACACTACTCTCTGAGTCTTCAAGAGGAAGAGTGACATTTCCGAAGTCCCCCACGCCGGATATCGGTCCGTGGGAACTCTGGCGACATGATCATCAATATTTCTGTAGACTGTTCGTGAAGTTCCAACACTAGAGTCTTTCCAATGAGCCAGACGATGTCACGCACAAAATATCGCTTTTGTCACCAGGGAGCTAAGGCCGCAGTCAGTGCTTGGGCTCGCTCAAACTTCGTGACAAGAACTTCGATCATTAAAATCTGAAAAGAACTCCATCATGCTAGAAAGTAATCTCGCTCCGATGAGCGAATCGGATGGCGCGTCGGGTTACGGCAACGTACGATTGTTGCGAAACAATTGTTTGGAACGGACTGAAGCAAATCTCTAGCAGCGATAAAGATCGATTCAATCGAATGCCTTCGAACTTTGTCAGTAAAGCTTCTCTGTTACTGCGGCTATTTTCCGCGTATTGATAGCGTAAGTGGGAACTCTCTGCGTTGCCTTGATGTGATCTGAGTTCGACTAGAGAATCTGCCCCTCTTGAAACGGTCAGAATGAATCCTTGAAGGAACCCGCCAGACATCTTCGATACATTTTTCATCCAGTGAAGGAGTCCATTCCTCCCGGGTGCTGCGCACCTCAAGGACACGCGTTCCACGATGAGAATATTCATGTTATCATAAAGATGATCGCTTACCACGGAAGGGGTGGAGATGCCGAACAGCATGCATGACATCTCAAAGAATCTCCAGAGATAAGCGTAGAAGGGGAAGTTTATTCTGGAAATCGACGTTATTTCTACACTCACGACTCCCTCTGCTGAGAGGCAGGCCTGGTGCGTGAACGGGAGATAATACAAATCGGTGACATAATATGGGCTCACACACAACGTAGCATCATATGTACAAAATCAGGATCGATGATGATTTTCCATCCGGAATTATTCACGTCAATCGTCCATTCCAACTCAGCGGGTTCCGTGTCGAACCACATTCGGGAAAACGCGAAATCCGTGAACCTCCGCGCTAGATGAGGATCTCGTGCTGCCTACGCGGAGTTTGCTCATCACAGCGTTCATGGAAGTCTCTCCCGCGTTTCGTCAGGTTTGGATTAGCCTTGTGAGTACTTACACTTGGATGATAAATGTCTGATCTGCTTTGAGTCCGAACGTGCTACAGAATTGGCAGGAAAACGCTTCTCCGGCAGAAACAACGTTCCACGGAGGGCTAGCTCGACGGCGATGTGAAAGAGCCGGATCGGCTCGGCTTCCGCTCAGGCTGCAGATCTGCTTAACTTTGCGCTAGGTGGCCGGCAATACGGTCCTCTCGAGTTCAATGTATGGCACGGGTATTTCATTGTTATTCGTCAGCTCGACGGCGGCGGTGACTTCGACGGGCGGCGTTCCCGCTGGATTCTCTCGGGGTTCGTCCTTATCATTCCCCTCAACGTCGATGGTCATCGAGGTCGGGGCCGTGGCGATCGCGGCCGCGTTCACGACTATTGCGGTCGAAGTCACTATCTCACTCGTTGAACTAGCTCTCACTGTGCTCTTCGCGGAAGCCGGAAGAGTGGCTTCTCTGTTCAGTTGAGTCTCTGGAACTATGACGCTGTTCAGTGTCGCGGAAGGCGGATGGCTTCCTCGATCGACAGCGAGGGGACCTTCCGAAACTGTGAGCTCTTGGAGAGCGGCAGGCTCTGCTTGAGTGTTGAGCGGCTTCCTCTCTTCTGGAATCTCGATGGCTTGGGTTTCTTCGGTGGCTGTTTTGGCGACGGAATCTTCATTTTCGTCCGCTCTAGTCGCTTCTATCCGCTTCAACTCGTGCTTGAGCGGTTCATAGTGGTTGGTACTCTCATGGGCTTGGGTGGTTTTATCGCTGTATCGTTTGTTTTCGTCCTGCGTAGGTTCACAAATCACACGGAACACACAAACCGCCAAAATGCCGAGTAACGTGAGGAAAATAATCCAAGTTGTTATCGCGAACAACATTCTGTCTCCTCCGGAGCTAGCCGAGCTCAAGGCTGATCGAACTCGTACGCCGAGAATTCGGAGAGCGAGCGTCTCCGAGCAACCAGAGAAACGTTCGGTTCTACTAGTGGTTGAGAGGCTCTGTCTGCCGGAACACTGGCGCTGTGGAGCGGCTGACTGACCGACCGACCGACCACGAAAACCAATCATCTCTCCAAGCGTTTTCCTCTACAGAAGCTTTCGGGAAAGGAAAACTCGGCGAGGGCGAGTGCTCCGGACCTATTCGGCGTGACATTCACGTCGGTGTCGTCGTTCCGTTCCAAGAGGCATAAGAATAACTCACGACTAATTAAGGTAAACGTGCCCGTCGCTGTACCGCAGTACTGTGACATTGCGGGAAGTCCATCGTCAGCAAATAAAATGTTCATCGAAAGTAGCTCCAAGCAGCTGGGGGAACGGAGTCACTCACGCACTTACTCAGTCAGTCAGTCCGCCGACTTCCGAGCGAGGAATTCCTGGCGGGTATCCAAATTGGACCGCGTGGAAGGATCTTCCGACTCGCGAACGCCGATCTACTGTTTTGAGCATCTCGACAGCCAGAAAAGCGATTGAAAATACCGAGATCGAGCTACATGTGGAACTAGACAATTCTTAGGTTACCTCGCCTGAATTCAGACCTTCGCTGTCCCGTCGAGCTAGTGATAAAGTTCGAAAGAGGTGAACATGTCAAGCCATGCGAACAGCTTCGGTATTCGATTCTTGTCATCATAGTATTTTCACCTCCCATTCATCGAACACTAAGGAATAGTCGAATAATCGGTTACAACTCCGCGCGCATGATCTCGCGATACCCTGTCAGGGCTCGCGGCGACGCGACGGGGCGCTGGAGATTCAACATAGCAAGACGTCACAAGACTGACCGAAAAGGCTCGATGAGTATTTTTACCGCAACGTTCACATTCGGAACGGGCCAGCACTCCAACAGTCTCCACGAGCTAGAGCGCATGCTGGCTGTGAAGGCCGGTTGGCGAGATGCCCCGGAGGAGGCGATGCGCGACGAATGGAATCGGAGTTGCCCGACCGGCGATGAGTCGCTTTTTGTGATCTTAGCCGCTCCCCTATAGTCAGAGTTGATGATCGGCTATTGGAGCATCGATATGGAGCCCTCAGAGTACCGTTCTGCGAGTTTCTGACAATGAGCTGCGGGAACCGTTATTCCTAATAATCTCATCGGGGTAGGATGCCTGGACATTACCCATCACTCTCCCAAAATCTCAGATGATGCCGGAGGAGGATCCGATTCACCGGCCTCGATTTCTTTCTCGAGACCTGGGCTGGAGGAAGGATCCCGACTGTCCCATTCGATTGAAAAGCTGATTCCCATGAACAAGATTTCTACAGGAGCGACTGCCTGCCTCGCTCGTCAGCTTGGAACACATGGTTTTCTCTTTCCCTATCTCTCGGCGTGAACTCTCAGAGGCGGCAAGAAGAAGATGAGCCTCTTCAGCATGATGTCACCACCGACCGTGTCGACGATGCCGACTTGCGAACAGATAAGATCGAAGGGACGAGAAGCCAAATTGTTAGTCAAATTGAACGTTCTTTTATTCCGTGAAAGGTTACTATGAGAAACAATGTGGAGCGCGTCGGCTACCATCTCTGCTGGGGAATATAGCCACGAGCAGTGCCGACCTTGGATACGTTTTCTGGGGAGCGTTTTCGGAATCGCAAAACTTGCTTCCTCTAATTTGTGTACCTGGACGAAATCGACAGACATTCGATTGGGGAACACCTTCTGTAGAAAACAGATTGAGGTGGAGAAATTGCTCGAACCGATACCCTCGCATGGCGAAGTATCGCACCGCGTTCGCCTCTCCCAAGATATCCCCTCCCGCCTCAACCGTGAGAGCGATATTCCCGGTGATGCTTGAATCTGACACTCCAATAAGGCGTCCGGTCGAAGCAAATTCCAGAACTTTCACCCAAAATTGGTCCACTAGTCTCCTCATCGGAGTAAATACATATGATCAATGATCACTGATCACCACGGAAGGGAAAATCGCAAAGGCGGATTCAGGCTTTAGGACCCGTGAGTTTCATATTTGTAACTCATCTGGACGACGACTCGTTCTACACTTGAAAGCACAAGAACATCTTTCGAGACATACTGCTCATCTGTCTCGATCGCAGAGACACTCAGAAGCCCGAGAAGCCTTGTGATCGAAGCACATAGCCTTGGTTGAAAACTTCGATTAGCCAGGATTGGTGCGAAAAGTTCCTCATCGGGTTTGAATTCGAGATCGAGCAGCTAGCGATTCATCCATATCAATAAAGTTCTTTTCTCTATCAAGACACCGAGATTTCCCCCACCTGCATTGAGCATTATGTTCGAAAACCGCAGATTGTCAAAATACAGTGATTGTGCCGGCTGCCATTTCGTCGATTGACCGAACGACTGATGAATTCATTTGGAAACTATCTGTGCCAGATCTGATGAGTAAAGCTGCGATGGTCGGGGCAGTGTTCAGTAGCGTTTCGGGAGAGCTAGGCGATCACGATGTTCAATTCAGCCGGTACAACGTAATCATTTTCGACAGCTTTGGTTTCATGGACCCGATCCATTTTGTCACACTTAAAGGAATCTTTTTTCTGTAAAGATCCTTTCTCGTCGGTTTCACTCAGGTCGATAGGTGGAGCCGAACCAACGTTCGCCGCTGGGTCCAGAACCGGGTAAAGAGGCGACCGAGAAGCCTTGGTCGAGCTGCTCCCAACGACCGAGTAGTGCGCTGATTCCGAGCAGTATCGCCGATAGAGAACTGATAACACAATAAGTCCGATGCACAGCAACACGAAGAACACAAGGAAGAAGACAAGGGTGAAGATCATGGTGAATTTTTTCAGCGCAGCCGCTCAGGGATCGGAGGGTGTCGGACTAATGGGTGGGGTGTTTCTGAAAGTTTCTGCGCAACTTCTGCGCATACCCCCGTGTGTCAACAGGTCCCGGAGTCCGAGCTCACGTCCTGTCGGAATTAGGCGGAGCACTGCCAGATGACGCTCGTGTTAGTTCTGCTGACCATCAAATGCATTGTGTGCGGTGATGTTGTGAGGAAGGAGCAGCAGCATTTGCCGCAGTAGTAGAAGAGCATGGGCGCCCTGAAGAGGATGAGGAGGAACAGCGGCAGCAGCAGCAGCAGGGTGTTGTCGTCATCGTCGTCGGTCGTCGGACAGCAGCAGCAGCACCACCACTGGCCGCTCGATGGACGGGCTCTCGAAAAAGCTACACACGCGCAGCCGACAAACACTACACACCGACGGGTCCTCGTTCATCGAGCGACCGTGAGTGCTCTCAACGCAGTCATAATCTTCTCCAGGAGTCGTGTGACCATTTCTCCGGTGCGCCCACTGAGTTTCCCCGTGACAACAGTTCTGAGTCGCTGCTTCGATCTCCCTACGCTATTTCTCGAGCTATAGGAATCGTTCGCGAATCGGACCCCGGTGTAACTCCGAGGTTTATCCATCCGCTCCTCCCCTCGGTTAGTGGGCTCCTCTTCCTCATGGAGAAACTCCCTGCCGCTTATCAGTGTACTGTCAGCGGCACCCAACCCTCGTGGTGATGATTCTAATCGATTCTCTTGTCCTTCCCTCCTCACAGAAGACGTCGATCCGACAGTGACACGCGGAAGGAAACTCATCTACGGCGTCAAACGCTGAAAGACGTGAATCACTCTTGCCGGGGCAGGTTGTGCTGCGCTCGGGAATTCCTGGGTGTTCTAATCGAGACAACTTCCTAAGGCTACCGTGGCATTCTCCGATTTCCGCTCAGAACTGACGGCGGACATGAGTCTGGAGGCGCCGAAGACTCGATAGATTCTGCGGGAGAAGGTGTAGCGGAAGTCAGCCCCGAGCGAGCTCGGACATTCGAATCGTGATGGAGCTTCTGAGAAACATCACCTTCTGCCCCCAGAACGAATCCCTCTGGACGGTATGGGAGGACCACGGACTTTCGCGATGTTTCTCGTACACCCTGACGTCTTCGCTACTGGCTCTATGGATCACAATGGGTGGATTGAGCGAGTGGTGGATATACAGAAAATACGGGAATCAAATCGAACGGCGCGTCCTCGTCGCAAAGCCGGTATACACGATCCAACTTCTGCTTGTCTGGTTGCTCATCTTTCTCGTGATTGGACAACTTGTCATTGACTTCCTCCGACTGGACGGCCAGAGCTTATACGGCTTCAATATACTCTGGAGCGCTTTGATGTGTTTCTCCTGGCTCCTGTCGCTGTATTTGGTTCACCTAGAACGATGCTTCGGCCTCCCCAGCGTTCCGACAGGAGGCCACGGTCTGATCCTGCTCATATTCTGGACCGGGGCTCTGGTAGCCGACACCATCCTCCTCGTCAATCTCAACTCCCCGGTGTGGTTCTTCCACATGGCGAGCCACAAGGATCAGATGCTGCTCGCGTTATACGTCTCTCGCTTCTTCATCACTTTGTGGCTTTTCCTTCTCGGCCTCAAAGCTCCCGGCATGCCGCGACAAGAGGACTATCTCTTGGGGGCGGGCATCCCTTACACGCTACACGTCCGCGACAACTCGATGTCGACTTGGTCGGGTTTCGGGAGGAAAATGAGACGTTTGCTTCCGTTCCTATGGCCGAAGGGGAATTGCAAGCTACAGCTGGCGGTATTTTTCTGCTTCGTGATTCTGGTCGCGGGTAGAATCCTCACGCCAATTTCACCGATATTGCTCAAGAAAATCGTCGACGGTCTCGGCGTGATGCCCGGCCACAAGCGAGAGTTCCTCTGGCAGGATATTCTCGCCTACAGCTCGTTGATCCTGGTTGTTCAGGGATCCAACAGTCTTTTTTCGAACCTGAGGAACATACTCTGGATCAGAGTTCAACAATTCACCACCAAGTACACCCAGGTGAAGCTCTACGAGCACCTGCACAGTCTGTCTCTGAGTTGGCATCTATCCAGGAAGACAGGCGACGTGCTCAGAGTGCTCGACCGTGGAACCCAAAGCGTCAACAGCTTACTGTCTTACATGTTATTCCAAATTTTCCCGGCAATAGCTGATACCCTGATTGCATTCGGATATTTCACTTACGCGTTCAATCTGTGGTTCGGTCTCATTGTTCTGTTTTCAATCGTGATATACTCGACTCTAACTATCAGCATCAGCGAATGGAGAACCAAGTTCCGTCGCGAGATGAACTTGTTGGATAACGCAGCTCAAGCGAAAGGCGTCGATGCTCTCTTAAATTTCGAAACGGTCAAGTACTATAACGCGGAAGAAGTCGAGGTGAGGGAATACGCCAATTGCGTCGATGAATACCAAAAAGCGGAATGGAAGACGTCTTTCTCGCTAGCTTTCCTCAACATCCTCCAGAGTCTCACCGTGAACGCGGGATCCGTGACAGGATCGCTCTTGTGTGCGTACATGGTCTACAAAGGTGACAGCGGAATGACAGCCGGTGATTTTGTTCTCTTCATCGCCTATATCAGTCAAATGTACACTCCCTTGAACTTCTTAGGCACATATTATAGAGTTATTCAGAAATCATTCATCGATATGGAGAACATGTTCGAGCTCTTGGACCATCAGCCGGACGTCGTCGACCACCACGGCGCCATCGATCTCAAACTCGATCAGGGTCAAATCGAGTTCCGGGACGTGTGTTTCTCGTACAACAACGATCGGCCGATCTTGAAACAGGTCTCGTTTGTCGTGCCTCCCGGTCACACCGTAGCCTTCGTAGGGCAAACCGGTGCCGGTAAAAGTACACTCGTACGACTCTTGTTCCGCTTCTACGACGTGAAGTCGGGCACCATCCTGATCGACGGACAAAACATCGCATTCGTGAAACAGAAGTCCCTGCGGTCCCATATCGGCGTCGTTCCGCAGGACACGGTCCTGTTCAATTCTTCAATTCTTGAGAACATTCGTTACGGTCGACCGTCGGCCACTGACGACGAAGTCATCGACGCTGCGAGATCCGCCGAAATTCACGATAGTATTCTGCAGATGCCAAATAAGTACGAAACTGTCGTCGGTGAGCGGGGCCTCAAGCTGAGTGGGGGTGAAAAGCAACGAGTCGCCATCGCCCGGACTATCCTGAAAGCTCCCTCAATAATAATCCTCGACGAGGCGACGTCGGCTCTCGACACTCGCACTGAACGCAGGGTTCAGAAGGCGCTTTCGGAAATCGTGAAAGGCAAAACCACCATCGTCGTGGCTCATAGGCTCTCCACAATCGTGAAGGCCGATCAGATCATTGTTTTAGAGGACGGCGAGATCGTAGAACAAGGAAACCATAAGGAGCTTCTCAGTCTGAACAAAAAATACGCGGCCATGTGGTTCCAGCAGCTGGAAGAGGAGCGTCAGATCAGTGAAGCGGAGCGTCGAATCAGTGAAGCGGAGCCGGGACCATCCGGTATCAAAGACGAGACATTGTGATTTCTAGATGCATTATAAAGGAAGTAGAAAAAATGAGGTCCTGCTGCTCAAGACCTCCTACGCCTACTATCTATGTATTCGCTCGCTCAGCGCTTCTATCGCGAGTTTCCCTGAAATATCAGGAGCCTGTTGTTGAATGTAAAGAACTCTTGTCATTTTGAAGAAATCGCCATCTAGAGTCATCTCTCTTATCTACCCCGTAGTTGCGAAAATTCGAAGCGGTAGCAGGAAAATGGGTATCGCAGTGGGCTTTCTCATCAGCGCATCGTTTAAGTCCCGAGAGGACTGTACTTTAGTGAATGTCATGCAATTCCGTCCCCCAATAAGTCGGCTTCTGTGCAAGACTGGTCGGACTCTCGTACGATCGGACTCCTCCGGTTCTTATGGGAGCGATTCGGGAATGGGGATGACAAGGCGAAACGTGACGATCGCGCAAGTGCATTCCCATCCACAAGGTCCTAATTCCCTCCAGCGTCAGGATTATGGGATCAGGATGTTAGGCCCCCCGCCCCAAGATCGAGTTCTTGGAAGAGCGATTCTTTGATTTGCCAGGTTTCCGACCGAGAGCGATTGCCTCGCCCGCACCTTTTCTCACGCTCGTGGTGATTAGGGGAAAAGTTGTGGAAATATTCACCGATGGTCCCCGTGGCTGACGAGGGAAGAAGGCGTCCCAGCAGAGTCGTCCCGTGGAGTTCGGTACTGACGACTTCGAATAGACCTTGAGCATCGGAAGAAATACAGACCAGGCGATAAATAACCTCCGATTCCGGAAGCCCAACAAACTTGAAGCAGACGAGATAGCATGTTCTGTTTGGGCTGAGAGTTGCCATTCCATGATTTTTCTATGCGATGTTCCACCAATGGCTCGGGGCTTTGAGAGTGACAGCCTTGAGATTTTGACGTTAAGAAGGATAATGCGGATGAAGTAGTCTTTTCCTAAGCGATTCCACCGGCTCACCGCTATCCCGGCGCACGGTGACAGCTAGTCGGAGGTCCCGACTAGCTGTTGTCCTCGTTCCTGTGGTCTCCCGGGCTCCTGAACCGCTCGCTCTTGAACAAGGGCGATGCTTCTCGTTACCGAGTACAGGATACTGAATTTGAAAGGAGCTCAGAGTTTGAAATATCTTGGGAGACCCCGAGCCTATGTTTTTGCTGTCAGGCTGGTGATACTCTCGTGGTATGTTGACTTCGTACGATGTGGAAGCCAGATCCGAGCCTCACCCCCGCAATATGCAGGGTTCTCGAGCCGCGCGCAATCCCGAATCTCTAACCTGCGAATGGTATGACCATGTCGGGGCGGGAATCCTATCCTGAGACGGGACAGCCGGAATCAGGCTGGAACCGATTCTGCTATGCGTCAGGACCAAGCTAAAGGGATAGGAAAGTCGCAGATCCGAGGCTACCGTCCGGGGTCCCGTTATGAGGTATGGGATCCGGGCGAAATATCGCTCAGGAGCGACACCGCTCTTCAGAATGAATAAATGGAATATATATCGCCCAGGATTCGTCCGTCTACTCCTGGTCGCTTTCGACCAGCTCCACGGAGCGGTTTTATCAGTCAGGAGCGTTCTCAGCTTTCCAGGATCGTTGTGGGGAAACCGGTATCGAATCCCTGAGTGACATCGCGGTTCCCATTCTAGGATCCTGCCGCTGAGGGTTCTCGCCAGCATGAGGATCATTGACTTCACTTCGCACGATTCGGGGATCCCAGAGATCTCTAGGGAGGAGAACATGAAAATTCCGAGCCATCGGGATCGTCGCGCAGGACTCGGTTCGTGGCATTGACTGAGAAAAACCTTCGAAGATTCCGATGCGCTCGTCTGAGCTCAAAGGACGCGCCGGACTCCAATCGGCTGAGCACGCACCCATCGTACACGGAGAGTTGTTTTGATGGATTAGTATCTCGGACACCGCCGAGAATCGGCCTCTTTGGAACTCGCCCAATGAGTTGGAATTCCTCCCAAGGCATTCTCGGCTTCGTGAGACACTTCTCACCCACGAATACCTTAGACGGCATCGGGGTGAGCTCCGGAATCTGCACCCCGCGCTTCGGCCAGCAGAATCCATTAGAGCCAGAGCTGAGGCTCGACGCAGATACCTAAATCGTGTGGTCGGGGTCGGTCGGCAGAGCTCCTCTCCCATGTTTCTCTTTCAGAGTTCTAGGTATATAAGAGTACTCGGGCTCCTCTCGAGCATCATACTCGCTCTGCCTTCGATTCCCTCCTAGTCCTTTTGAAGTCTAGTCCCTCGTAAATAAGCGAGAAGCACCCTAGTCGTTTCAATCACGACGTGGATACTCTGAATAACGGTGAGTTTCGGAGCCAGATTTCAAGGAGCTGACGTGGATAAAAGTGGATCAGAAACCCTTGAGCGCGGGGAAACTCGCTCAAACATACATCCATCTCTGTAGCTTGTCTGAAAAACCGTTTGTCTTCTCCGCAGGAAAATGAAGACTGTCTTCATCATCTGCATGTTCGGAACCATGGCTTCGGCCTCGTTCTTACCCACCACGACGCCTGCTCCGATAGCGGCAGCTGCTCCAGAGGCTACACCTGCTCCCCTGACCACACCACCACCGACGCGAGCTGAGGGCGCTGCGATTATCGTTCAAAACCAGAACAAACTTGTTGACGAATCTGCGCCAGTCGCCGTCCCGGTTGAGGTGGTGGTGCCTGTTCCAGTGACTACCGTCCCTCCGCCGCCTCCCGTAACAACCCCTCCTCCTCCCCCGCCGCCGGCCGTCCTCCCCGTAGCGCCAGCTCCCGTCGCAGCAGCTGCCGTAGTCCCGGTTGCGCCAGCACCCGTCGAAGCCGTAGTCCCCGTAGCGCCAGCTCCCGTCGCAGCAGTAGTCCCTGTAGCGCCAGCACCCGTCGAAGCCGTAGTCCCCGTAGCGCCAGCCCCCGTCGAAGCCGTAGTCCCCGTAGCGCCAGCCCCCGTCGCAGCGGCTGCCGTGGTCCCGCTTGCGCCAGCACCCGTTGAAGCCGTAGTCCCCGTAGCGCCAGCCCCGTCGCAGCGGCTGCCGTGGTCCCGCTTGCGCCAGCACCCGTTGAAGCCGTGGTCCCTGTAGCGCCAGCTCCCGTCGAAGCTGTAGTCCCCGTAGCGCCAGCTCCTATCGCGGCCGCTCCTGTCGCACCCGTAAAGCCTCTGTTGCCAGCTCCCGTTGCACCCGTAGTCCCTGTAGCGTCAGCTCCCGCTCCCGTGTTGCCCGTGGTTCCTGCAGCGCCAGCTCCAGTAATTCCTGCAGCGCCAGCTCCAGTAATTCCTGCAGCGCCAGCCCCAGTAGTTCCTGTGGCACCTCCAGTCGCTCCCGCTGTCTCAATCCTGCCGATAGCAGTTCCCGTTGTAACGGTTGTCAAGAAGCCCGCTCTAGAAAACATTCAAGTTGCGATGGTGCATCACTAACACATCTGAAGTCCTTTTCCTGAGTTCAAGACATCCGACCGATTACAATATTATCCCGGGACCCAAAGAGAGGAAATACGGCACGAAGAACCGATCATGATATTCGAAGTAAATAAAAGCCTTTGAAAAGCAACATACCCGATCAGTACTCGAACGAATGAAGTAGACGTCATTTCAGTAGTCAATGATTTGCTATGATCACGCCTGCGATTGTGTGGGGGGGGGGGAGAATGGAACTCGCCTACTCCGCCGATTACCATCAGGCGGCTGCGAGCACAAGCGGAGAATGCATGGGACCGAGGACAATGAGCAGGACGTAGTTTACTTCGAGTTCTTTTGTATTCAGAGAGTATGAAGCCGGAGACCGACGATATCTTTGCACTCACAGCTCAACAGCGGTATCGACAGAAAGATGCTCTTCCAAGCATGGATATTTCATCGTTATGCGATAGAGTGAGACGATCCCGAGAAATGATGAGTCGGGAAGGAACGTTCCCCGAGCACTCATATCGGTAGAATTACTGACTGAGCTCTACGTGCCATGGGGTTCTCTCTTCCCGGCTTCGGAGAGATCCTGATGTTCCGATATTCCTTCTGCCTAAGAGTTAGTCAGGAGAGACATATGATCTGTGCCGATGACTCCAGAAATAAGTACATCGTGAACCAATAATGAAACTTCAGCGAACCTAATAAGGTCCAAATTCCATCGTTTGATTCCTAGAGCGGGAGTGCTCTCTAGATTCTAGATCCTCGGATCAGTGCGAGGAGCCACTGTCGGCTAAATTAACGTACATTGGTGGAGCGAACGAGGATACACAGGTCACCATCGCTTGACTGTCACCGATCTTCGCTCGGATGCAGAAATAAATGCTAGAGTTATGGCGTTGAATAACGATGGGATATGTCCGTGTCTCTCACATATGCACATCCAACCTGCTGTAGGCAATCAAGAGCAGAATTGATCGAGGATTGATCTGTATCCGCAAATCAGCGAATGCGAACCTTCATTCCTATCTCCGCGTAATGGAACCGATCGCTTATCGGGACCAAAATGACTCAGTCCCGATGTGGTTCCATTAAGCGGAGTCGACTGTATCGAGATTGGAAACGCCTTTGATCCAGCCAAAGCGTGCACAATTTCGAGAATCTACAGATTCCACCATGGTAATCAGTTCGACGTCATTGAGCTACCATGACTTGACTCCTTTCCCTCTCCACCAAGAAATGGTCGACCAACGCAGTCCTCTGTAACCTCAGTCCTCACTCTACTCAGAACTTAGAAACTAATTTGCACCTGCACTTTTTTAAGAGAAACACGACAATCAAGGATGATTCTCGGCCGGCATTTTTTCTCGGATTGACGTCGGACACATAGTCGTCGTCGAGAAACCTAAAAAGCGTTGAACGACATCCACAGGAGCCTTGATTGCCCGTCCGACTATGCGCGGACATCCATCGTGTGATCTTCCACGGATCGCCATGCATCGAAGTCGCTGCGAATCCGATGCCTTATGCTCGGAATCTAATTTAGCGGAGTCATGGGGTTGGATTTCAGAGATATGCGCATCCGTAGGATGAAAGTTTGGGGATTCGTTCTGACGACTTATCTTGTGAAAACTTCTCCAGGGTCTGGAGCTGTCAGCGTCTCCGTCCGGGATATATGATAAATCATCAATCATCCCAGAGGTTATAAGTGATAATTAGAATCCCGCACAAACCAGATGTGGTCGCAGCGTTGCAGAAGGGTTCTGGCAGCGTTGCGAAA